TATTTGGAAAAAAACCGAAATAAAAATGAAACTTCTACAACTCTGTATCTGCGACACGAAGCGTTTTAGGATATAAAGTTTACAAACTTTTTTACTTATTTTTATATTTGCAGTAGTTTCCCGAATACAATTCGGACCACCCTGTATAATCAAAAAATTTTAAGATCAAGCGTATTTAGCATGATGAAAATTATATTAAACTTTGGAACAGTCAAAGTTCCCTTCACAAAAGTCGTCTTCGAATAAATAAACTTTGATAATTCAATCTGTAATAGGAGGGAATGGTTTATCTGTTATGATAAAAAGCCATGTTCATGATAAAAGTCTTTGGTAATAATGCATGTGTAAAAGGCAAGTTCAGTTTAAAAAATCCATACCTTGAATATGTAAGTCACTGTACATGTTTGAACTGTGTGCAACGAATATTGTACAAATATATAGTAAGTACATACACTGAACACTACGGCATATTCAATTAAATCACACATAAACCAGACAAAATTTATTGCTAAAATGGTATTAAGGGATTTCTAACAGACACGTAAATTATTGGAGATAGTCAAGATCCACCTATAGTGACGAAATCCTTGGTATAAGGAAAACGCATCTAAGTATTACTTCCATAACCACTAAAATCTGTTACCGATCTGTCTCATATTCCTAGATATGCTGATCCTCTTCTAATTTATATTTGCCATTATCAAAATATAAAACAAAAATTATCGAAAGCTATACTAGTATAACAGATCGTTCAAATATACAATAACAAAGTTAAATGTTTATTACATATTATCTAACTAATGGTAAGAGTTAAACGTAAATTATTTGTTATTCGAAAATGTCAATGTGACACAATATAGAATTATAGGTTTGGTTTTGTAAATAAACTGTAGCATAGGTCACATTTACATTAAAAAATATGTCTTCTACTAAATAATTCAGTATTTAAGATGGTAAAAATTATAAATATGTACTATTATTTTATAGATTTTATACACTAACGGACAACAGAGAAATTTTACATTTTTATTTTGAATACCTTTTTATATTTTTATTTTTTTATTTATATATTTTTTTATATTTCATTCCCTTTTATTACTTCTTTTTTATATAAGGCTACTATTAGGTTAGTATCAAGAACGGTAAACTAATAGGATTGCTCATCCTCATAAGACGTACGTTCGCCTCTTCCCGCGCTTCAGCTGACAGTTGTGACGTCATTGTAGCCCTTGTCAAAGCCTTCGTGGCCTTGTCATGATAGTGTGTATTATTAGTTGCCTATGGTAAACTTATAAAAATAACAGCTGAGAAATTTTGAGTTAATTATTTTGTCAATTTTAAATGTGAAAAGGGTGTCTTTAAAGTTTTTAGAGCTATAGAGTGTATAAATACGTTCATTTTGTGTTGTGGATTGTGACAAAGTGCATACTAAGTGCCCACGATTTTGTTTATTAATTATTTTAAAGCAAAATATGGAAGTACTCTAAAAAGAATGCTTGCAAAAGGTAATGCTGGGAACTGCTGTTCTTAAAAATGCATTATCCGAGTATTTAATACGATTTATACAGTTAATTTCTATAATGCATATATATAAGGTGTTTAAATAAATAAACTAAATAATGAACGTTTTGCATTCGGTAACCAATAATGCACGTGTGTGTATTATTGGTTGCCGGATAAGGACTAATGACCATGACAAGGGCTACAATGACGTCACAAAGCGAGTAGTTTTCGCATGCACCTGGCGGACACTTTTGGCTGAATGAGCAGTCCTATTAGGTTAACTGTTCTTGGGTTAGTATAACATTATCAAATTCCTTTGTCAAAGATCTCTTATAAAAGATATGTGATGAAAAATTTGACATTATTAATATACAATAGTAAAATCACACATATTACACTATACAGAGTGTCCCAGAAATGAGTGCAAATACTTTAAGGCGTGGTAGATCTGGTTAAAATAAACATATTTTCTCTTTACCATTTTTAAAATAAATTGAAAATAACTGAGTTATTTAATAATCGCAACATTTTGAGAACCGCCGGCAGATATCGCCAACTACATCCAGTTACCCGGATCAAGCCCGGATTTCAGTTAATTCGACGCACTGTGTTGCCATATGGACAAGAAAGTATATGTTTAAAAGTAAGTCATAAAATCACAACACCTGAGAAGTTTGCAGAGATGCATTAAATTTTTAAGATTGTGATATTATTACATAAAATAAATTAAAAGTTAAAAAAGTTAAATTAAAAAACTTACCCAACATTAAAAAAGATACTTATGACAGATCGATGTAACTGTGGCAGTTCTCTTTTTCGATACACATTTAACTAAAATACACTTCACTGTGCTGCTTTACTTGTACATGCTATTATAATAACTGTTAAAATAACAGTCCCCATTTTTAATACTTTATTTTCATATAGGCTTCATCACAATTTGAACCACTGATTTACAAAACACCTTGAAAAGCACACATTACTTTGAATACCTTTCTGAATGAATAAATGTTGAGAATTATTGTCTCTTACCGCCACTTTACGAACTATTTTCAATCTAAGAAAATACATGTTTCACGCGACAATTTTAAATAGGTATTTTGTTTTTTCGCTATTTTTTCGATGTATTTAGACAATTCCATCGACAGCCCAACCACCGACCAAGAGAGCCGCGCATCACTGGATTGACTGGATTCACTGGTAACTGCTCCTTTGTCGCGCCGGCGTGTCGAGCTTGCGTCATGCGAGGTTGCCGTAGTTTCAACAATTTCAAATTCAGGACACACGAAGCAATCAAATTCTTATTTAATTTTAAAATAAAACAGAAAAGCATGAAAGGAAACAAACAAAACAAATGATTTGATTAATGATAAGGTCAAAAAAAAGAAATTTTTAAAATGTTTATCGTAATTCACAATTCAATATATCGAAAACAACCCGACGAATAATCAATTCATTTTTGTTTTGTTTGTTTCCTTTCATGTTTCTCTGTTTTATTTTTAAAATTTGATACGAATTTGGTTGCTTCGAATGTCTTGAATTTGAAATTGTTGTAACTACGGCAACGTTGCTTAACATCGTCGTCTGACGCAAGCCCGCCACGACGGCACGGCGCCTCAACTCAAAGGACCAGTTCACACGCGGCTCTTTTGGCTGACGATTGGCTGTCAATGGAATTGTCGAAATACATCGAAAAAATAGCGAAAAAACAAAATATGTATTTAAAATTGTTGAGTACCAATGTAAACATGTATTTTCTTAGATTGAAAGTAGTTCGTAAAGTGGCGATAAGAGACAATAATTCTCAACATTTATTCATTCAGAAAGGTATTCAAAGTAATGTGCGCTTTTCAAGGTGTTTTGTAAATCAGTGGTTCAAATAAAACAGAGAAAGATGAAAGAAAACAAACACAACAAAAATGAATCGATTATTCGTTGGGCTATTTTCGATATATTGAATTCTAAATTACGATAATAACATTTACATTTTAGGACGATAACATTTTAGGAATTTCTTTTTTGTGACCTGATTGTGAATAATATGATGAATCATTTTATTAAATTTATTCCAAAATAAAGTTATTTTGCAGCATAACAAAGATCTTCGTAAACGTCATAAACGTAATGTTTTAGTTAATTTTCGGTGGTTTTTGTTAAGTTTTCATTGAAAGGGTAAGTACTAAAAATAATTAATGTGTTTTTTTTTATAATTATAATGAGCACTGATAAAAGATTAAATTTAACTTTCCTAATTTTTTGAGTAGAAACTTGTCTATGAATTTATAAATGTAGAACTATGTAGAATGTGGATAACATAGGAGGTCGCAACACTGCATTGTTTAGATACACCGTAGAGAAATCTGAGGTGAATAAACAAGTGGCACTAAAAAGTTTTTTCAAATTTCCCGGAAAATGTCAAGAAAAATTTTAAATTTTCAACATTTTTTTTTTCGCAAAAAAAAACTCATAGGCGTGTTTCTGGGGTTGAACTATACTACCAGTTAAAATATTTGCACTTATTTCTGGGACACCCTGTATATGTAGGCCAGTATTGCACAATCAAATTTCTTTATAAAAGATTTTATTTCATCAGAGAATTTGACAGCGTAATATGTGTGATTTTATAAAATATTGTATATTAACACTGTCAAATTTTTCATCAAATATCTTTTATAAAAGATCTTTGACACAGAAGCTTGAAAGTGTAACAGCGGCCTAAGATGTAATAATAATATTTTTCTGTTCATAAATCCTATAAGAAAAATATATAATTTACACATAATTTTAGAAAGTACCTATTTAAAATTAATAAATTAAATAATAAATACAATTAAGATACGGTAACATTATTGTGAATACAAATATATGCATAATATACATTATACATTTAAAACATAGCTCTTGTGTATCTACTTTGTAGTATAGTTACACCGTATAATCGAAAAAAACAGCGTCCAGTTGGCCAGGAAATAACGATCGATGACATTTCCCATATAAAATGACAGCGATGTTCATCATCATTTCATAGCCATCTCTGACGTCGTTTTTTTCGATCATACGGTATTTTCGTCTAGTATACAAAATATGTTACATAAAGTTTCTCTGTTATCGTGTGAAAAGGAACATATTTTATGAAACTAAAATGACTGTACTATATACTTCTGACAAAAATATATTTTCCACTTGGTTTGGTTCGTTGTGTTCTATTTAGAATATTACTAAAATTAATATTAAATAGTATTGACTGTTGACTACCCATTCAAAAGTATCTGCTCAAACATTATTCATTTACATTTCGTAATTTTAATGCATTCATTAATGCAGAATATGAAATAATAAAGACGGCATAAGCCATACAATGATTCTTTTTAACGCCACTGATTTTTTTTACTGGGGTATGCCAAAAATATAAATTAATTATATTATAGATAATGGGCCAGAATTGAAAAAAATTAAACTGCAGAAAAAAATTTGAATTTACATAAAATTAAATTTCTCAAAACTAAAATCGTATACACTTTACTAATGTAAATGAATATTTTCAACATCCTGTACACAATTATCTACTTTAACTGAAATTGTCATTTATTAACTTAATAATCTACTTAAAATTAAGTTACTTATATATTTTATTAGTTTTATATCATTTGTCAATTTAATAGAAATAAGCCTATTTTCGTTGGCCATAAAATTTGTTTGTCATTGTCTAAACAATGTATTTTTCTATTAAAACCATTATGCATTTATTTACCTGTATATACTTAAAAGCAAATCAGCGTTGTCAATAGCTTTATGTATTTATGACAAAAAATTAATGCAGATTATCATGTACATTTTGCTTCTCCCATAGAAAATATACTTTCATTAGAAGACAACAAACCCGTCCTCGTACGTATTAACAAACATCAGCGATAAACTAACATCTATAACACCGCCCCTAATATAAAACTCGTAATATCAATTATTACATTTTTCTCTTAACAAATTCGTAACAAAGTAGGTACCGAAATTTACGCGCGCCTAGGTACTTCCCATGTCGTACAGAATAGGGAGTTTACAGAAGCGACACAATTCTAGTGTGACACGATGTCAAATATTGAAATGGGAAAAGATTTCGTGATTTTTAGTATATCAAAAATAATAGTGCGAGAGCTAGCAACGCAACGTCTGGAAAACAAGTATTTTAAGGAAGCTCTTTGATATATCTTTTACTATGCTCTCTGGAACAGCGGGCAGGCCGTCTGGCTACCGATAGACGTTGCGTTCACTACTACCCATCGAAAGAAGTTCCTATATCTTTATTTAGTCCTTTAAATTCTAGGATACAAAATATAGGATCTTCTTTCATGCGCAGTAGTGAACGCAACGTATATCGGCATATTTAAAGAGCCAGCTTTCTTAAAATACTTTCTCGAAAACGCTGCTAGCTCTTAGACTATACTATGAAGTGTCATTTCAATTAGTCGGTAATAAATTTATAAATTACGGCGGATCGTAACCAGCAAAGTTATGAAAACTTAAAGATTACGGTAAATCGTAACCAGTAAAGTTATGGAAACTTGAGGAGTGTCGTTTCTGTAACCTCGCCGTTCTGCGCTTGCGGTTCGATCGCTGCGCAGGCAGCAACCTGTATCTTCCGGTATCACCACGTCTAGGCATCAATGGTGTCATGTTCGGCGCAGCAATCCAACCTACCTCGCACCAGTTGGTCAGTCCACGGGTCGGAATGTTTTTTTTATCGTTTACGCGCATTCAAAACAGCATTTAACAAGGTATTTCGAGAAGCGTAGCCTGGATAAGTAAATAACCAGTTAAACCTGAAAAACAAATCACTATATTAGATATAACTACGCTAATCACAAAACATTTTCCGATGCACGTCATCAATCATATCGAAATTGGCACTAAAGCCTATAAACCTGACTAAATGAAATTTTGGCAAAAATGTTTAAATTTGTTGTGTAATTTGAGATACTGAACAGTTCCTCAATTTACTTTATAGAGCAAATAGTTGTAACAGATATTTTATTTAGATTAAAGCTGCAAAAATTAGTTTAAACCGAATTTTATTACCGTCAGGTTGGCCACATTGCGCCGTGTTCAGCAACGTTGTCGTTTATTATTTGACAATTATCATAATGTCAGTCATTATTTTGTATCATATCGTGTTGTTGTTGAATCTTTGAGAGTAATTTTCGTTTTTTTTGCCGATTTTCATAGTCTTTTTTAAAAAATTGTACTTTTAAGCACAAACAGTTCTTTTAATAATAATAATTTTTATGTTGCATTTTTTGAAATTGTGTGTTGAAAATATGCCGAAGCATTTAGCTAAACAATCATAGCAAAGAGCTTGTAGCTTTCCTGATAAACTATTCTTTCTTATTTTTTTCTTTATTCTATTTGTAGCAAGTAGTTGTCTTAAATTTAAATATTTCTATTGAGTAGAGTTTCACAGGCTGCTAATATTAATGAGCTATTAAAAAGTAAAATAAGCTATAAAACAAATAAATAAATTAATTACTAAAATATTAAGATTCATCTCATAAATCCATCACAATCTGGCAGCGCTGTTACCACTGGTTGTCACTCAAAGTCGATCACGTGCGCGGAAATTGTTTTGCGAACTATATACACTGCGATCTTTACAGTAAAAGAGTATAGATACAAAAAGGCATGGATATTACGATGAGAATCAACGAATCCTAGCCTACAAGCTGGTTGAAAAGTCCAACCTACTGTAGATGTTGTGAACACACCTTCTATTCGCAAATAGGTATATTCTTCTATTCATAAATAGGTACTATTCGCTCTAATGGTTGGGCAGCCAGAAATTACGACAGCAAGACATATTATTCTTTGTTATTGTGAAGTGTAGGCACGTCGAAGACAATATACATATAAGCAACAAAACCTAAGAATCTCTCCAAAAAAAATCATTTATGGGTATTTCGCCACTGCACTGCAGAAAAAAGAGAATGAATTGGAGAGATGAATCCGCCACATAGGTATAGACTTTTTTTTTAAAAAACCTAAGAATTTTTAATAGCTAGCCAGTGATGTAGATAAGATTTGATTCTTTGAGGTGACTATCGGTTTGATCCATAGCGAGACTTTTTCAGATCTACTCTGGTCCCCTTCTAATTCTTAGGTTACATACTCCAGTCTTATCCTTTTTAAAAAACCCAACTTGGAGACTGAATCCTCCATATAACTCTCTCTCAATGGCCTATCACTGCCTGTTTCAGAGAACCGCACATTTGCCAGGCAAAAACGTGTCCTGTCGTTTCTTCTTGACAGAACCTAAAAATGATTTTGTCCGCCAATCACATTAGCTGTAGATGCAGCTTACAATACAACTGTAGACCCACTACAGCTTTCACTGTCTTTCTGTCTTAGCTTATCAGGTCTGCCGTAAATTTTGGCCAATATTCTACTATGAATATTATATATTATATATATCCGCCTGTCTCTGCCCTAATGAATTTCTCCATCGCTCTAGAGATTTCATGGCCACCCATCGCTTTGTGGCCATTCCCGTGACTGCTTTTGCAACGCCGCAGAATGTTTCTGGGCCTATAAATAGCGTTGATGAGCCTTGTTTGGCAATTTCATCTGCCTTTTCGTTACCCATGTGACCCTAGTGCCCTACCCAGTAATGTTATAAATTGAAGATTTTGTGAAGGATACATAAAATAGCATAAACCAAGCACAATAAGTCTTGAGCTTGATTTTCATACGTCCGTTATCCGTTGATACGATGGTGCGACGGCGCTCTGATTGGTCATAGCGTTTTCACGCCATTTCTCATCCTTAAATTTTTTACTCCAGGCGCGTCAACGGTGAAAGTTCGTACGATAACGGACGTTTTGGCACTTTTTTGAAATCTAATCTAAACTTAATAAAAATATAATAGTACAAGAGCTAGCAACGTCGGGAAAACGGGAATTTTAAGAAAGCTGGTTATTTAATATATCTTTTGCCATGCTCTCCTGACCAAAGTGCGGACCGTCTGGCTGCCGGTAGACTACTGCGGTTCACTACTGCGCATTACATCTGTACAGGGTAACCCATTTCTTTCGATTTAGAGATACAATGATGGGATTTTCGCATTACCTTGCTACTTTTTTATGAAACTAAATATGCTACATATAGGTTTGTCCTAGCCTCCTTAGTTCCTGAAATACAGGGCGAATTTGTGATGCGCAGTGAGAAAGAATAGATTTTGAATACGATGCGCGGTAGTGAACGCAACGTCTACCGGTAGTCAGACGGTCCACACTCTGTTCAGGAGGGCATAGCAAAAGATATATTAAAGAACCAGCTAAAAAAGCTTCTGTATAGAGAATTTTATTTTTAAAATTCTCTCACGAGAAGTGTAACTTTTAACGTTGCTAAAAAAAAAAATAAAAAAATATAGCTCTTAGACTATAAGTAAAACAGCAAAATCGTTATGGAAATGAAAATATAAAATGACACCAATCACAAGCAAATAGTATATCCGATGAACGGAGGATGGAAATGCAATAAATTTAAAAACTGCGTAATTTTCCAACCAATCGAAGTTTTTAAATTAAACCAATAGCATTAATATCGTATCATCGTACCGTCGGACAACGGATGCATGAAAATCAAGCTTAAATGCTAGAGCGCTGTGCTAAGAGAGAAATTTGACGTAAAAAAAATTAAATAACATTTTACTTCTTAATAATTGTTTATAGCTTACCAAAATTCTTAGGCATTTGACTCTTTGAGGTCCTGTAGTCGTGCAAGCTGGTGCGGTTCCAGTTCATCGGGAATACTAGCGCGACCCCCCACCACCTGCTTGGGCGTGTCCGGGTCGGCGGAAGATGGCGGAGGGGCGTGGCTTACAGAATTTTCTGCAGTGCTGGGACCAGTGGTTTCGCCTTCAATAAGACGAAATAAAAATGTAAAGATCAGTTTGTATGTGCGTTCAAAATAATTTCTTAATAACTTTAAAATCATCATGGTTTATGAGGTAACAAGGTATTCAAATTTAATTCAATTCTTAGATTTTATAAATGAATGGTAGTTTTTAAAATAAACGATATGTTACTTCAAGTCAGTTAACTGACTTTTGAAACACTGTATATAATTACCCAATCTTAATTGTAAAATAATAAGCATAAAAATGTAAAATATACCTAATGGATACGTCATGCGTCGTTCCGCCACTCCAGTCATATTTAAGTATGATATGTCATTTTTAAAATAAACCAATAAAATTCCATAAAATCAACGATAGACGACGCTTGACGGATGCATGTCAACCCAATAGTATAAGCAAGAAAATTTAAATAAAGTTGTACTGTATTTAAATGTATCTGTTACAGTAAAAGTCGGAAATCAGTGATTGTTACATTACACTAGTAACAATTACTAGTAAAAGCTCACATTCACTGATTTGCTAATACTACGCCAGTAAAAGTTCAACAGCTATTTTTGAAACCAACTTCTACTAGTGAATGCTAGTATTCCCTGTAGAATAGCAGTGAATTTAAAAAATTTAGTTGCGCGGTTGCCACATGTAGTAAAAAAGGATAAATAAGGATAAGTAGAATAATAGGTAATATAAGGATAACATTAAATTGGGTTAAACATTGGCAACATTGACAGACATCTGGCATAAATTCGCTTTGTTTTTTGTGGTTATGTATAATTGTTTTATTATCGTTGTAAAAAGTGCTGTACGGTATTTTCCCTAAATGAAAGAAATTTTCGGTCAAAAATTAAAGCAAAATAGACTCCCGCGAAAATGTAATAGTGCATTCAATTTTTTTTTCATTTCTAGAATATAATGGAATTGTAATAGAAAAAGTTATGCATTATAGTGACTATAGACTTATTAAAAGTTTTTATGTGCTTGAAGTGGCGAGTTTGAAAAAAATAATGGCTTCCGTTAAAGGTGGAAGGAGGGGGGGGGATAAATTTCTTTAAAATACGACATTCACTGGTCCAGTGCGTAATTGTTACCTAGCATTTCCTAGTGAATGTTAAGAATCGCTGAATTTCCGACTTTCACTGTAACATATCTAATACGTACCATCACTACCTGTACTACTACTAACAATAAACTGGCCAGAACCAGAATCCGCAGTCGGTTCCGGTTCCTCTATTTCTTCTACCTCTACATCAAAGTCTCTATTCGTTACAATGTCTTCCTTTTTAGATACCTCGCTAGGTTCTTCCACGATAGGTTCCGAGTCTACGTTATCACTTTTGCTCCGTTCGCACCGTTTCTCGCCGTTGCATTTCGTGTTTACCGCGCCCTGGTAACCCTGGTTCCTCCCCGCCAACTCCTCCTCCTCCTCCTCGTACGCCTCTTCGTCTTCCTCGACGATGACGTCGTTCTGGTGGTTGACGACCGGCGAGGCCTCGTCCTCGGGAGGCGGGAACGGATGCTCCGGCTCCTCCATCATGGGCGTGGCAGCGGTGATGACGATCTGAGCCACGCCCAGTCCGAAATCGTCCCCTCCCTCCGTTCTATCGGCGGGCGGTTCGACGGTGGCGCCCGTCTGTGGAAAATGAGGCGCTGTTATATGTTGGCGGAAGAATTCGTTAGGGAAGACTGTTAAAGACGTTAAAGGAAGAGTGTGAAAAGAAGAGGACTTTAGAGTAGTTAAAAGTTTAGACATACCTCGTCGCTTATTTCTAAGCTGGGGACTCCGATCGCTACAGGCAAGACATTGAAGAAAACAAGAATTAATATTTTCTTTTTTTATGAATGGGTATCAGGACGTCTATAGTGCTACCTAAGCAATAGGGATATAGGGATGCCAAATATAATATTCCAAAGTATCGATATGTTATAGAAGAATGTCTCAAAAGTTCAGACGTTTATATCGACATTATTCTGAGTATTGATTCTTTATCGAGTTTTTTACAGGATCGATCTTATAAGCTTGGTGCTTTCCACGCCGTTGCTGCCACCATCGGAAAATATCGTAAACAACTAGTAGATACAACTACATACATACATAGGTTTAAATAGCTAATATAATAGAAAAATGTATTATTTAATTATTCTAAAAGTGTTAGGAAGTATAATTTGTGAAAATTCTAAAAATGAAAAGGTAAATATTTTGATATCTGCTAAAGGTCTAAACTTGTATTATAATTTATTATTCCAGTTAAAAAACTTTTTAGATGAGTTCAACTACGGTAGCCAGCATAGTTTTATTCACCGTTTTTGCTAGTGGGGCATAATTGGAGCTATTTTGGCTATAACGAAATTTTTTTTAAGCGCCTTTAAAGGCACATAATTATAATCTTAGAAGATGTTCATAAAACATTTAATCTAGTAAAAAAAAGTATACCATTAGTATTGCAAATTATATTTTATCCTCTCATAGTAATTTAATTTTTTGATTATGTAACGAGCACTTTGTTTACTCACTTATTTCGTCGAACTGCTTGAATCCGTTTATTATCCATTTTTGCTTTTGATCAAATCGGTGTGAAGAACTATGAACCTATAAAATGTTGTTTCGGGATAGTCGAATATTCGGGAAAGTTGAGTTATTGAATGTTATTGCACCCAACAACGCCATAATTACGTACTACTTTACGACTTAACATTTTTTAGTCAATTTTATTAACATTTAAAATTGTCACAACATAACACGACGCCTAGTTCTAATTCTTTTTCACTTATTTTTTACTACCCGAAACAGCGTTACATTACACAAACCTCGTATAGTAAACGCCACGAATGTTTGGGAGTGGTTCATCGGTCGCTTTGAATAAGAAGACTAAGGAAGGAGCATAATGCTATCCATGTATTCATGCATGGTGGGCGGAAAAGCCACCATAAAAGCTCTCTAGGGTGGGGATCCTTGACAGTTCTGTTTGACGATTCATTTGACACATTTGAATTTGATTTGAAATTTTGTGGATTTGTCAGTCTTTACGGAGCTTATTTTATGTTATTTATTATTTATTCTACTACTGATAGTTGTATAAAGGTAGTAAATCTAGATGGAAATTGTGGCAGAACTTAAATTAACAGTGACACTATCGCGATTTATCGAAAAGACTCTAAAATAGTTGGTTGTGTAGCGTGCGGTAGATCTCGGCAAAAATTGAGTGAAATAATGGAACACCTTTTCGCTAGTAAGTGACTATATAATATACATACGTGTAGTAAACCGATCATTTATGAAATTCACTTAAATTAACTAAATTATATATTTTTCTTTCATTTTAGCTTTTATTTATAACTTGTCAAAGATTAGACGTCAAAGAATTTAGATACGTTAATTTGACTTACCTGCTTCAGTAGCATATCAGATGTTTGTGTTAATAAATACTTATAACTTATCTATTTTTATTAGAATTATATATTTTTATAACAATTTTAATAACTACCAACATTTATTCACAACGTAAAATAAAACAACAAATTATTGAGTCTACCACACGTCTACCCTACATCATAGTTTTACATTTTTTAAATAAAATTAGGACGACACTGATAAACCGGAATTTAAGTCGGCCATATTTGAGGCCCATCGCGGTGTACCTAAGATTTTTGATATGCTCCTTCCTTAGTCTTCTTATTCAAATATACTTAAATATTACTACAAAACTACGATTTCAATATTATTTTAATGCGATCAACCTGACGACCCGGCGGCGCGGGCGGCATGAAATAGGTACTGATAATTTCTGATTTTTGCCGTTGAAGCGCTGCGGTCGGAATTTGTTGAAATCAACTGAAATGCACCAAGCCTATGGGAAATGATCTTCACCTGTACACATTATCGATTTTATTGGAAGTATCGTGCATCCCTAATGCTTCTAGAGGTTATATATACGTACTTGGTATCGTTGGAACATCATCGCCTTGAAATTGGGTTCCGTATTGTTCGTGTTGGTCCCGAGTTAATGCCATAGAAAAATTATTTCCCGACCCTTCTACTTCGGTACCTTTCTTTTCTTCTTTACTTTCTGGAGGGGGTGTAACTTCTTCTGTTTTGAGAACAGGGGCCGGTTCTTGAGGAACATCACTCTAAATAAATTAAATATTAGTATTTTTGACACAGCCATGGCATATCTCGGAAAATATGACACACGAAAAAATACCCTATATAGAAAATTGAAGCCCAGAAAATTCTCTACAAAATTGTCTAAATACATTTTTTTCAAAAGTCTAAACTTTTAAGAGTTACAGGGTGATGACAAAATTAAACTTATTATTATTTATTAAAATGACAAAATTAACACTATTTCTCATATTGTATTTACGCATTTAAAATCCAATTAAAGTCTAAATTTAATCTTTAATATTAATAACGGTAATATTAAGGGGTCCTGATGTTATCTTGCAAGTCTTCATTGCATCTTGACTTTTTGTCTTCCATTGGAGAGCACTAGTGCACACACGACTTCACAGTAACTAAAAATTAAAGATTAATGCATGCCTGCGTGTGGTGTATTTTTTTACGGTAAAAACTCCCCCCAACACCTCGAGCTCATCGTCTATCTTCGGGAACTTTTAACACGTATCAACCCAAGTCTAGACCCAAAACATTTTAAGTTCCTTTAGGTTATATATTCTCAAGGTTAGTTATATAAAGGTTTAATAAATGTCTCATTGGTATCTTACAGTGTATTGATTTATATAAGTGTAGCGTTGGTTACTTATCACTAACAGTAACCTTGAAATGTTGTTTATCACTTTCCTTATAACACTACAGGTTCTTGTTACTAAAGGTTTCATAGTAAGGTTTTATAAAGGTGTTCACATCTATTTTATATAACTTCTGGTATTAGGTGTTATAAAGGGACTCAAGATATACACTATATAATTAAAGGTGTTATTGAGAACCATTATGTAACCAATAATACTACAAGTTATATAATTGTTCCCTCAAATCGTTTTTTGCACCTTTCAAATGTTTGCATGCTTTATATAACTTGTAGTTACCGAATATCAAACCTAATGACATGACCTCAAATTTTTAATATAATCAAAACAAATAATATATTAGCAAGCAAGCAATTCGGTATTATAATGAATAATAAAAAAATAAATTGGATAAAACACAAAAATACATCTATGTTCAAAAGAAAGGTTCTTCAGAATTTAAAAAAAATAGGAATGATCCAAACCTCATTCAAACTACATCTACCAATATTGAAAGCCAACATGCAAATTTACCATCCACAAGCAGAGATCAGGATCAACCTGAGATATTTCCAACAGAAAGTTGCCAAAACGATCAGGAACGTGTGGTAAGGACAACCCAAACTCATTTACGCAACCTTAAGTAACCAAATTTATATAATGGTTGATGAGTATGTTATAGATCCTAAAGTAATATATAGCACTTTAAATATAATGGACGCCATTATTATTGATGTCTTCATTTTTACCTACAATGAGTATTTCTAAGATAACGTTAAAAACTGGTACAAAACTATATTTTGACCAGTTTCCAGTTATTTCTATGTATTAAAAAAGTCGTATGTTCTAATATTTATATTAATAAATTTGACTTTCATTACAAAAATGTTACCATATTTTTTTTGTTTATAAAAAATCTATTAAATAATTCCGCTTTTGGGGGCGCATGTGTTTTTTGGAGGTAAAATTGATTTTCACACAGTAAATTTAATATCGCATATGTATATAGTACTCTGGCTAGGCACAATAGATTTTATTAAACCAGTAATTTCTATAAAGTCATTTGCATAACGCAAACGCTTTTGTAGGCTATGACAGGGATGGCATCATTTTGTCTCTTTTGTGTCTGGTCTGGATTATCTGCGTAGGACAATTTTTATGTTAAAAAAAGAGGCAAATATTAAAGTAGTTAGTCAGAAAGAAACAAGTTTATTTTCAAAAAACGCGCATGCGCGATATTTCTATGGAGGTCTGGGAACCTTCTTAACACCACTATATAACTATTATATACCCTTTTTCAGTATTATAGCGGCAACTCGATAGGATATATATAGGTGTTGAGATAGTTTTCAGGACTTTGGTGGCACACCTTGAGTGTTAAGGGTTACCATAGGAACAGTTATAAAATGGCCCGTTTAGGGCATATAAGTGTTATATAATCGTTACCAATAACTCACGACAACCATTGTAGATGCGTTTAGGTTGTATAATATGGCGTTGGGAAGTTTTCTAACACACTTATAAAACAAAAAATGCTTCTTGGGGAGGAATCGTTTAAAACTATTTTCAAAACTGTGGGAATTTTTTCCACCTATGGACCTTTTTTAACTAATTTGACTGGGGTGACAAGAAAGATAAGCGAGTAAAATAATAATTGAAATAAAAATATTCCGTAAAAAGATTTGTTAAAACTTACAGTCGGTGTATCTTCAGGTATAATATCAATCTCTTCTTTTAAAAAACTAGGAATATCTGGTGGTGTAAAAACGGGAGGTGCAGACGGGGGTGGTGTCTCGTCCCACTGATTCGTTAGTGGTTCGCCAAATTCGTCACATTCTTCCACGACTAGGGATGGAAAATTGCCTATTTGACCTAAAGATTATGAATATTAGTAGTTTCCTAGTTTTCTTTTCTTACTAATCATTACCATCTAGTTCGCCTTGCCACCATCCATCGTCAATACTGTGAGCGCATTTGCTGAGTACTTTAATGATTTGCCCTTCTTCAAACGTTAATTCTTCACCTCCTTCTCCGTCATAGTCGTACAAGGCTATACAGTATGATATCGGAGCGTCGCTACCACTTGTAGTTTTTTGGATTGGCATGGATATAACTGAAACCTAGAAATAATATAAATATTAGAACAAAAGTTCTTCTTTCTCCCAACGCTTTCTGTAGCACCTTATACAGGGCCGGCGGAAGGGTAATATTGAGAAAGTGGCTCACCCCTATAACTTTTTTATTTTTTAGATGAAAAAACGAGATTTGTTATGTTAGTATATGACGTAAATTAGGCTTGATTGACGCCGCGCCGTATTCAATTGTTTTTGGTTACTCCCTGTTTCCCCGGAAATGACTAAAACTTTTGGTTTTTAAATGGCACCTTCGGTATATTTCTACTTTATTCGATAGAAAATAACATTCTGAGTAGCATGGCATATCATATGTCAACTTTTGACATCTTCGCATAAAAAAATCGTATTTTAAATTTCAACCTAGAGAGCCATGGCTGTGTTAAAAACACTAATTTTTTATAATTTAAACAAAGAGCCTTGGAAAAATAGATTTGATCGTCTAATGTTTTTCGTGTTTTGTCCTGACCGGTTAAAAGATACTCAAATCGTATTTTAACCATATCTCATTTTTTTCAAATGGAACAAAGTTAGCTCATTAGCATATTTGGAAAAAGCATTTTTTACGAATAATTTGATACCACACATTTGGTATTTCGAGTCAAATTGTTCGCCGTTAGGAACCGCATGTTGTAATGTCAAATAAACCATATGCGAAAATGTCAAAAGTTGGTATATGATATGTTTTATTCTATTCAGAGTGTCATTTTCTATCGCATAAAGTAGAAATATACCGTGGGTGTCATTGAAGTGGCTAAAAATAATTGAATACGTCAATTAATTCTAATTTATGTCGTATACTAACATACTAAATCTCGTTTTTTCATCTGAAAAATAAACAAGTTATAGGGTTAAGACACACCTGGTATATAGAGCTATAAGAAATAGAATTTCAACTTCGGCAGTCTCGTTCTGGTATAAGTGATCTTTGAAAATATTAGTATATTAGTATTTAGTTGCAAGCATTGGCATTATTTTTCAATAAGAATTTAAGAAAATTTTTCGTTCTTTTTCACAATTAATTATTTCGTGCAGAATCGGTATAATATGATCAGACAGTTTTGTCGACTTTCAAAATGAGGATCAGCCAGTGTTTGAGATGCATTTTTTTGTGATAGATTTTTCTTCGAGATGAGAAAATTCTGAGCGATTCTGCTACCATTCTCCGTACTTATATTACTACATATTCAATTCGGAACAATCAAAACCACCAAAAGATTGATATCTTTTCCCATTACTGTTAATAAATTAATTTAATTAATGAAGCAAATTTATAAGCTTTTTTCGATAATAACGATATCGGAATCCTCTTCAGCTTCTTTGCGAATGAATATTTGCCTCATATAATTTTAGAGCATATCAGCCTCATATTAATAACAAATAAAGGGTGTGGGTAGCAGAAAAAGTGCGATTTTGAGCAGCCAGTCTAAAACTGTCAATTTTGCTGACTCTTGATCCAAAACAGTTTGTTTAGAAATTTATAAAAACGAGAATTATAGAAAGAAGGGTTATTTACAAAAAGTTGTTAGCTTTTGAGTTATAAGTAAAATACCACAAACATATCAGATTTATATTTTTTTATTCTATTTTGTTTAAGATTCTTCCACGAAAATGAATTCGCAAATCCCAGTTTCAAATAGAGTATCCAAAAAACATATAGAATATAAGAAATCAAATCTATCCCAAAGCTTTCGTGCTTAGGATTTTTTGGGTATAATTTCAGTAAACTATAATAGGGTACGTCTATGATATTATGATAGTAGTGTTTATAATGTTTAGTCAGATATTATTCCCTATGTGGTCTGGTAATTGCTAATATTTTAATGTGGAAATTACCCTTCCGCCGGCCCTGACCTTATAAATATTCCTATAAAAAAAATGTACACAAAAGTACAACATTCGTGTTAAAAATAAAAGAATTTAGGACTTCCATTGTCTTTATTTATTTTGATTACTACAGCGTTTCGGTCAACAGTTTAGTTCACACCTGATAAAGATCAGTGATCCTGCTGACCGAAACGTTGCGTTAATCAAAATAAAGGCAATGGGAGTCCGAAATTCTTTTAGTTTCATAAACTAAATCTTGTTAAATTCGAATTTCTACTTTGTTCTTCGGTTTAGCTCACGGCCACACAGAAAGCGGTTTTTGCGTGAAGCGTCTGTTGCAACTAAAACAAAAAAAAGATTATATAGTAGTGGCCCGAACAAAAGCATGTAGCGTTTGGCGTGTCTCGCAAAAGATGCAAATTAAAACAAATCAGTTTGTTTTCTGTAGAGTCTTTAGCGATTTCTAAGATGAGACCCCGTCATAGGCGGACGTAATAATAAAATGAAAATAAATTAAATAGTATGCATTTTTTTTTCATTTTAGGGTAATATCTAAAAATATTTTTATAGAAAAAAATCTACTGTTTCGGAAAATTCTATTAAATTGAAAAATTTGAAGGAAATTTTGAAAAAGTGTAGTTTGAAATGTTGAAAAAAGCAATAAATCCAAGATATATAGATTTTAACGCGTAAAAAATAGTTTTTTACACGTAAAAAATATATTTTTTTGCTTAAAAAATGTTTTTTTATCGGAAACAAATAGTTTTTTTCGCGTAAAAAATAGTTTATTACGTGTAACAAATAGTTTTTTACACGTAAAAATATTTTTTTTGTGTAAAAGAAGTTTTTTATCATGAACAAATAGTTTTTTTCCCGTAAAAAAATTGTTTTTTACGTGTAACAAATAGTTTTTTACACGTAAAAAATAGCTTTTTATGTGTAACAAAGAGTTTTATGCGCGTAAAAATAGTTTTTTACGTGTAACAAATGGTTTTTTTACACGTAATAACTTGATTCACTTTTACAAAATTTGTATTAAAATATCAATATTTTTTATAAACACGTGGACTGCTTACAAATACACGTCGCGTCACTACGTATTTCTAAGCCGTTACCACGTTTCGTTACAACTAACTCGTGTGTCAGGGCCAGGGCCATCTCACTAGCTCGTATGTCGCGGCCTTGAATTTTTACTTCCGGCGCGCCTAAAGAAGCTTCACTCCAACAAGTCTCATAAAGCTTGTCGCCCACTTGGCCGTCACGTCCCGTCCCGTTCCGGCCCGTCAAAATACGGATAGGATTAAAACCATGCAAATGAATAGACTATCGCACATTAGCCCGTCACGGCACGGAACGGCGAGTCCGTCGACGGAACAGATTCCAGCTCTCCGACTCTCCCCGTCAAATGACGGCCCGTGCCGGGACGGGCCGGGACGGGCCGGCCAAGTGTGCGTGAAGCCGGCCGTCGCCGGCCGGCGCTGGCCTGCACCAACTTGTGGAAGCCTGTCGATCGCATATACATATGTTTTGCAATTATTTCGGCAGTTGTTGTTGTTGAGTCCGAGAAAGCAGTCCTAAGAAAAAAAATTAAAAATGGACGATGAAAAATTAATTTGTTTAGTACAAAAATATAGGGAAATTTATGATATAACTGATAGTGCTTATCATAACCAGCAACAAAAGGACAACATATGGGAGGAAATCGCTGGAGAAATAAACAGACCCGGTATGTATTTATTTTATTATTTATAAATATATCATATATTTTTTATATATATTCAGCCAAAATCACATTTCAAGGTTTTTTCTTTTGCCTTTTCTTACTATTGCTGTTTGCCATGACACCGACCCGGTCCCATTAAAATAATTTTTAAATTTATTTCTAATCTCTATTGCAACTGTAGTTGAAGATCCGCCTATTCCCGATATATCTCTTAATCCTTGGGGGGATTGGTTATCTTCGTCAGCTTCAGTCCAATGACATGTATCATTTCGAAGAAAATTATGTAAACAACATGTAGCAAGTACAACTTTATCTAGGTGCTCAGGGATAATTTGAAGACGCCTCTGGTAAATACGAAATCTCTTTGTCAAAATTCCAAAAGCATTTTCGGAAACTCGCCTAGCTCTACTAAGTCTATAATTATATATTTTAACGTCCTCGTTATTAAGTATTTCGTTACCTGGATATGGACGCATTACATGTTTTTGCAAAGGAAAAGCCTCATCTCCAACGAAGACGTGGGGCATAATTTCATTAGTGCCAGGTAAAGACTTGTCCTGAGGTAAATCTAAAGTATTTTTCAACAATTTCTTTCCGATTGCTGAATTTGCAAATATTCCCCCATCGCTATTTCGTCCATAGGCGCCGACATCAATAGCAATGAATTTACAATGAGCATCTACAAATGCAAGTAAAACAATACTAAATGTTTTCTTGTAGTTAAAAAATAAGGAGCCACTATTGGGGGGTTTGTCGGTAACTACGTGCTTCCCATCGATGGCAGCAACGCAGTTTGGAAAATTCCACATCTTATTGAACACCCTTTCACTATTTATCCAAGTTTCCTTTGAAGGAGAAGGTATTACCAGTGGTCCCAAATTTTTCCATATTGCATCGCAACATCCATAAACAATTTTACGAACTGTTGTTTCTCCAAGTCGGTAGCTAAACGCAATTGTTCGGAATGTGTCTCCCGTAGCAAAAAACCTAAAAAAAGTAATGAAATAGTTACCAAACCAGTTGAACCAGTTGAAATATTTTAAAATATCATAACTTTTATACCAAGACTGCTATCACGCCCTTTTCATATTTAAGTTTGTAAATAAATACTAGAAATTTCGTAATAAGCTCCAATTGTTAAATTTTTTTAATGTAATGGAGTTTCCTGTCAATAAATAAATGAAATAAAATAAAAACTTGGTCAGACCTTTCTCAGAAATATTTCAAAATAAAATTGACTCTCCTCTCTTTCTAGTACCATTTTTTTTTGTTTTTTTTTTTATTATAGTTACCGAATGCAAGAAAAGATGGAGCACGTTAAGAGATACCTATCGAAAATCTCTTAGGTCTCAGAGAACTAAAAGTGGTGAAGGAGCAAAAAAAAAAAAGATTTGGCGATATGACAAACACATGTCTTTTTTGCGATGTTTTTTAGTAGACAGACAGCAAATTAGTAATGTTGAGCAGTGTGATTCATCAGAAGATGAAACACAGGAGCGGGAAGAAGACAGTAATGTCACAGATGATGTTAGCAGTCCCAGCAGTATTCCAAAAGGTCCTTCTACATCCAAACCTTGCAGTTCTGCCTCTAACACATCTCAAACATCAACTCATAAAGGGTCAAAACAGGCAAAAAAAACACTTTCATCAGCAGAAGTGCTTCATGATTATTTAAAAGAAAAAAACAGTCAAAAAAAAACACCACTAGAAAGACAGAACGCTTCAGATGCTATATCAAAATTTTTTGATTGTATGGCAGAAACAGTTAAAACATTGTCTCCTCAGTTACAAATTGAAGTCAAATCAAAAGTTTTTGCAATAGTTAGTGATGCAGAAATAAAAAATCTAAATTTTAGCCCGATAAGTCCAACCACCAGCCAAAAAGTTACTTTAATTTCTAATCAACCACCTCGATCTACAAATGTTCCTCAACAAAATAGGGTCACAATGCCACAACCACATTTTCACCAGCAACAGCAGCATCAGTTGCCATATCCGCAGCCTCAAACACAGCACTCACCAGCCATATCACCAAAGCCCTTTTCACAATCACAATCACTCTTATCATCATATTCTCAGCAACACATACCATTTGCTTCTGTTCTACAACCTACCACCAGTTTCACCGAACATTTTGATGACAATAACGATGATAATGATCTTACACAGATCTAGAATGCTATTTCGTATTCTATAGTCGGTGGTGTTAGTGACATTAAACACCAAAATATTTCACTTCCGGATACCAGCACCAAATTTTGTTAAAAACAGTTTTTACACATATAAGAGATTGAAAAAACTATCCGAAGACTGGGGGTAAGTCTCCTGTATTTTGGGTGGTTGTAAATATTTTTACACAAACGCCACGGACTATTATGCTTTATATTTAGAACAATTAATATTATTTGTTGGTAATTATCAAAGAATGTTTTTTTATTTCGTTTTTTTTAAGAAAAGAATATTACTTTTGTGCTTTGACATTTATAATAAACATTAATAAGCTAAAATACCGATTTATTACTTACCTTAATGCTACGGCAAGCCTTTCTTCTTTCGATATTGCTCTTCGAAATGAGGAATTTTGAAATGATAAATCAGGCTCTAAAATATCAAGCAGTTCTAGGAATTTATTATGCGACATTCTAAAATATTGAAAAAATTTCTTTTCATCTTCTTTTAAATCGTTAAATAAATGATGGAATTCTCCGAGTTCAGCCCTCTTTTGATTAATGGGATGGACCCACATCTTTCTCTTTATCTTCTTTTTATTTTCTTCTTCTTCTGCCAAAAATGCGGCCGCTACAATAACTTCTTATCATGTAACAAATGGTTTTTTTACACGTAATAACTTGATTCACTTTTACAAAATTTGTATTAAAATATCAATATTTTTTATAAACACGTGGACTGCTTACAAATACACGTCGCGTCACTACGTATTTCTAAGCCGTTACCACGTTTCGTTACAACTAACTCGTGTGTCAGGGCCAGGGCCATCTCACTAGCTCGTATGTCGCGGCCTTGAATTTTTACTTCCGGCGCGCCTAAAGAAGCTTCACTCCAACAAGTCTCATAAGTCATGTCCTAAAATTGCGTTAGCAACTAGTAATATTTACTATTCTATTATATAATTATAATTATGATTATTTATTATTTTATATTATAATTATAACAAGTAACCACAACACGACAACATAAAAAAACTATAGACATATAAACTAAAATTCGTAAAATAAATGGCAAATAATAATTATTATTTTTACACACGCCACTGGCACTAGTCATGGGTAACGCAGCGCTGCGCGGCCCAATTGCGTTGATACACTTTATTGCGCTACTGATTCGATACCTTGTGTAAAATGTATATGACGCAAAGCGCAGTTGTCAGGTTAGCGTTGGCATCCCTGACAAGACGTTAGTAGTTGGTTTTCCGTTATTGCGTTGCATTCATTGAACTAAATACAAAATACACGAGCGTCGGTCGGTCATTCAGTGAAGTGAACTGCATAAATGCGCTATTGCCGATAGTGTATTACTGTATCAATGAATAGAATATGGAACAGTGGTCGCGTAGCTCACACGCGACCACGGTTTCATGATAATCTAGGCCTAGGCTTTAAGATATCAATATTCGTAGTTCCTGTGTGGGGACTGGGGTGGTGGTGGGTTTGCTTCTCCATGCTTTTTAAAAAAAAAGAAAGAAAAAGAACGAATTCTTTTTATTAGGTATAACAAACATATAACATAAAATTATTTTTAACATATAACATATAATTTATAAATCAGTTTAAGTGAAAATTTTCAGTTCGTTCAGAACGAAAGAATGCTACTAATAGTACTATACTAATTAGTAATATTCGTATTCGTCCATAAGAGGTTATGTTTTATGTTCATTTGTAATTCGGCTACCACAGATATAATATAAAATACTACTAATTTTTATCTCGATATATCGAAAAAGATAATTCGAATTAGTTAGTTTTAATTTACTATCGAATTAGTCGTATTATTTAATTCGAATTTTCCCAACACTAGTTTTGGCTCTGTACTCTGTACTGTATCATCATAGCGCAATTGAGTTAACGCACTGCGCTGATACAAGGAGGTGCGCCAACGTTATAGTATCAGCGCAATAAATTTCAGTGCGTTACCCATGACTAACTGGCACTAGCAGAAGATTGTGTTTGTCGCCGAATATATGCCCGGGCCAGTCCACAATTCAATCCCAGCATCTTTTATCTTCGTCTCTTCAACGCTAACCGCGCCGATCTCGCCTATCTCTTTCTCACAGGATTGACTGTTGAACGGGTCGAGAATCCACGAGCTTGCGACGTTAACTAATTGACTTATTGATAGAAACTGCAGACCTGCCGCGTCTTTTGCGTGTTTTTAATGGACACAAATCGAAAAAAACGCTTCAAACGGTAAAATCGCAAAAAGCGCTTGAGACGCCAAAAACGCAAAACGCTAAAAACGCTTTCTGTGTGGCCGTGGGCTTAATCAAAATAAATAAAGACAATGGAAGTTCGAAATTCTTTTAGTTTCATAAATTCAATCTTGTTAAATTCGAATTTCTACTTCGTTCTTCGGTTTGTTGCCAAAATTGATGATGACAGAAAGAACAGAAGCAGAAGAGTCTACAGAAAGAACAGAAGCAAGAGAAATGAGAGAAACAAGTGAGGAGTGAGGAAGATGGATGAAGAAAATGGAAGAGGCAATTAAAGGGAGATAAGGTGACACTCAAAACTTGTAAGAATAAATAATGTCAACACAACATACGGTAATCACGAAATATTTTCCGATGCACATCATCAATTATATCGAAATTGAGACTAAAGCCTTACAAACCTGACTAAATGAAATTTTGGAAAAATGTTTAAATTTGTTGTATAATTTAAGATACCGAGCAGCTCTCCATTTCACTTTATAGAGCAAATGATTGTAACAGATATTTTATTCAGATTAAAGCTGCAAAAATTAGTTTAAAGCGATTTTTATTATCTCATGGTCACATTGCGCCGCGATCAGCAACGTTGACGTTTATTATTTGACAATTATCATAATGTCAGTCATTATTTTGTACCGCATGATCGAATAAAAACGACGTCAGCTATGGCTATGAAATGAAAATCGCTGTCATTTTATATGTAAAATTATATGGGATGTCATCGATCGTCATTTCCAAGCCAACTGGACGCCATTTTTTTTCGATCATACGGTATAATATCGTGTTGTTGTTGAATCTTTGGAAGTAATTCTCGTTTTTTGCTGATTTACATAGTTTTTTTTAAATTGTACTTTTAAGCACGAACAGTTCTTTTAAGAACTAAATTTTCGAGTTTTGTATTGCATTTCTTGAAATTGTACAGCATTTGAACAGTCGAAGCAAAGAGCTTGCAGCTGTCCTGAAAAACTATTTTGAATGAGAACTTGACAATAAAGATCCTTTATTACCCTTGACTGCAGTCAGAGAAGTAAGTTTGTTAGTGACTACTGTTAATAAATTAATTAATTACTAAAATAAAAATGAAACGGAAAAATCTTTAAAAAATGATATAATAAATACATTGTTTTCAAATTTTACATTAAGATTCATCTCATAAATCCATCACAATCTGGCAGCGCTGTCGCCATCGTTTGTCACTCAAAGTTGATCACGTGCATCGGAAATTGTTTTGCGATTACTTTATTTAGTTTTACATCAAACAACTTACTTGTTCCGGGGATTGAGTTGTTTCAGTCTGAGGTTGATTTTCTTCCTCGTTATCCACGGTATAATCTACAGAGGAGAAGGATATTTGCGTTTGGAGACCAGGGGTAGTAGCTGACTGTTCTCTTTCGATATCCAAATAGTTATGTGGCACATATCCTTCTTCTCCCCGGTAGTTTCTCGCTCTGAGCCAACCGTCCCCATCTCCTTCTCCAACAACTTCCAGCTGCTCGTTTTCTACAATCGTTAACTCGTCAGGATTTTGTGCCTAGAAATTAATTACATTATAATTTCAATTACGGATGATATTGATGAATTCAAAATCTCTTGAATATTCAAATTTCTGTAGAAATAGTCATAATTTATATCCATCTTAAACAAAGCCATCTTCTACGATAGTCAAGCACAACTAAGAGTGATCAACTCAGTAACCATCAGTTCGAAGTTGGTCAAAGAATGCCTAGAGAAGCTGAGTAAATTAGGCAAAGGAAATAAAACCCTCATTCTCTGGGTACCGGTCCACCAAGGAATAAAATGGAATAAAAAACCAAACCAGCTAGCTAGTAAAGGAACGAACACTCCACTAACTCGACCAGAACCGTTCTGCTTCCCAAGTGGAAATCAACTTAAAGCAGAACTTAAGAACCTGGAAGTCTCCATTTGTAACTTGGAATGTGACTTTCCAACGGTCTAAGACACTTTAAGAAATTTCTCACGACTTACGACCGGGAAAAATCAAGGGTTTTTTCTTGATTTAAGTAAGAAAAATCTTCGGATTGTCAGAGGACACTGTCTCCTCAATGAACAGAACTTATGATCAAGAAAAATCAAAGGTTTTCCTTGATTTAAGTAAAAACAATCTTCGGATTGTCACGGGGTTTCTAACAGGACACTGTCTCCTCAACGAACACCTCAGTAGGTTGAAACTGAGAAACAACGGCGAATGCAGATTTTGTGGGGAAAATGGGGAAACACCAGAACACCTTATCACTGAGTGCGCGGAGACGACGACCATTCGTGCCATGAACCTTAGTACGCCTGATGTCGAGGATGGAGAGCTGGTCTCTGTGGAGCTGTCTCAGATACTGGCTTTTGTTAAAGCCCTGAGACTGTATGATGAGTTATAACTCGTTATAACTCAAGAAAGAGGAACACACAATAGATCTATAAGGTTGCGGTGATTAACTCCCCTTCTAAACATTCTACATTCTACATTCCTCTATGAACACGCTAAGAAACAGCTAAGAAACAACAACGAATGCAGATTCTGTGGGGAAAATGAAGAAACACCGGAACACCTTATCACTGAGTGCATCCGCATCGAGACGACAACCATTCGTGCCATAAACTTTGGTACGATTGATATCGGTGATGGCTAACTATCGTCTGTAAAACCGTCTCAGATACTGGCTTTTGTCAATGACGTATGATGAGTTATAACTCAAGAAAGGAGGACACAATAGATCTATAAGGTGGCGGTGATTAATTCTCCCCCTTCCATTCAATCTACATACAATGCATCAATTTCATCTACAACAACCTTTTTTCGAGTAGAAATTATTAAAATCGGAAAATGGTCTATTCCATCCAAAATCTAGAAGAATCGTTACTGGTATTGTAACAAACCAAAGACAGACCTATGGCCTACCGCGGTTCAGAAGTAAGTGTGTCTGCAGCTGTTCAAGCATACTGAGTTCTATCTCTATTCGGTATGGTCGCTTTATTTATTTAAATAAAAATATTCATTTATCAAATTAAAGCGACCATCGAGTCGCCACCTCAAAGAAAGCAATTTCAAACCAACCTAAGTATATTTGCCTACTCAAATAGTGCCATTCCGGATTTGGCTATATAAATAAAAATAAAAAAGTGTTTGTTTTTTAGATTTTTCTCTGAGTGGCGAAACGCAAAACACGCAAAGCACACAGCCTTTTGACATAGATTAGGAATGCCGAGAGCAGCATTGTCCTGGCTGCGTCAAGACGGGGCCACTCTGTGCTGGGTGCCAGGCCACAGCAATGTGGAGGGCAACCAGGAATCGGAATCGCCAAAGACAGCAGGGGAGAGGCCGTGGCATACGACCCACCACTTGTGACGATCAACACACTGAAGGAAGCTATAGGAACTACCATCAAGGCCAAGCAGCAATAGACGTGGTAACACCGTGAGAGCTGCAGTACAGCTCGACGACTGTTGCCAGTGGTAGATAGCAAAAAGACAAAACAACTACTAGAGCACAAAAAGAACCTAGTACGCATAAAATTGTAGGAGCCATCACTGGAAACTGCCCCACGGGGGTAAACCTCGTGAGATAGAAGATTTCCAACGATGACTACTGCAGAGAATGCGGAGACGAAGAAGAAATCATAGAGCACCTACTGTGCCACTGTCCGGCACTGGTATGCCGACTCTTTAAACCTTTAGGAAAAGGTTGTTTGGAGAAACTAGAGGAAGCAGCAGAAGCCAATATCAGCGACATCGGGAACTTTGCAAAGAGCTGGAATTGCTTTAACGCAAAGAAAGGATGAGATGAAGGTTTGGTAATTAATACAGGGGTATTGTACGGGCCCAAGGCCTCCGAGTGAGGGATCAAATATGATCACAAACCCCAGCAACCTAACCTAACCTAACCTTTGGCAGAAATGAATTGTATAGATATTATTTGCAAACACTAAACTGTTTATTACTTACAGTGTACGAATATAAAGCGGTACATTTTAATAAAGGTCCGCTAGGTTGCGTCACTTCCGCCATGTAGTCGTCTGTGGTAGTTCCCATGGCTTCCTCTTCCGCTCCCCAGTCAACTTGAGTTGGATCGTCCCATCCCGCGGTTAACTGTTCTATCCTTTGCCTTTCTTGTTCTAAAACAGCTATAAAAATGGGAGATATACAACTTAAAAAAGTACATATTTTGAGTAACTAACATTAAGCAACAAGTATGTGTTTTTTGTGGGGATTTGTCTTATTATTTTCTTTAACCAACACTTGTAGGAATTTGAATAGAATTTATGTGTGAAATAACGGAAGTTGTATTCTAAAGAAATGTCATTGCCATCGAGAATAATACAAGACAAAATGGTTCTCACGTCATCGCCGAAGGCGTTCAGTAACAGTTCAGTACCAAAAATTTCCGTGTGACTCGTTGTTTACTCGTTATTATGCAAATAAGTGTTAAAATAATGTAGAATAAGTTAAGTGTTATTGATATTCTATTATAATTAATTAATTGTGTATCTGACCAAAGGAAACCAGCTCTATAAGCCTACACATCAAATGAAACTATCGCACTACTAAATAATAGTGGCATTTATCTAAACATCATAAAATATCACGAATACATTCTAGTGTAGGCGTTGTGTGGTCTGGTAAGATATGTAGTGTGGTGACAATTTAGCTCAACGCTTTTAAATGCCAGCAGGTATCCTGATATCCAACTTGCAACAAAAAGTGTTCTAGCACGTTCAACCACAAAAACAATTTTTTAGGTGTTTAAGTGTTTGTCCCTTTGGAAGGTTATAAGCTTTCTTGCCTTCGACCTCCACTGATTTAAGCAATAAGAATTTCTTTATAAATATTTTTTTATGGTTGAAGTAAAGCAAAGATAGAACGTATTATTGTCATCACTATTTCTATAAATATCCACTGTGTTTGTTGTGTAGTCGAGTGCCGATGATCGTAGCAATTCGACGTTGTCTGCCACAATATTGTTTTATTACTGAATAAAAAGACTAAGAAAGGAGCCGAATATTATTTTGCATATACAGGGTGTCAAAAAATAGTGTATCTAACTTTAATGGGTGATTCCACAGATAAAAATTAAACAAAAAGTTCCTATGAACATATGCCATAAAATGCTTCCCGAAGAAATTACATCCCTCGAAAAGTTAAATAGAAATAATATATTTTGTTGATTTTTAAGAACATTGGTAAACCGTTTTTCTTGAACTTTGGTACTTTTACACACATTTTAATGCCAAAGCGAATGGCGATAGTGTAAAATTCCGTAACAGCTTTGAAAGGGTACTTTCCATTAAGGTAGAGACTGGTGGTACTCCTTTTATCCTTATAGATACAGTAATTTCAACGAATGATATAAAAGCTAAAACTTTTTAACATAAAACAAGTGCTCTTCATTTAGTTCGAAAAGGTGAACGGTTTTCAAGGTATTTGCATGATGCATCGATTTTAGTATTAGTGAAATAATCAAATGTAAAAAAAATTAAATAAATTAATCTCCTGATTTCGCTAATGCTAAATTCCTTTAAACGCAAATATCTTGAAAACCATTCACTCTTTCGAACTAAAAGAGGAGCACCTTTTTTACATAAAAAAGTCCGAGCTTTTTTTCATTTATTGAAATTACTGTATCTATAAGGATAAAAGGGATTCATTTCGGTTTCGAGTAGAGTTGCGCTAATCAAAATCAGAGCGAAACCATTCGACCTAAATGTCATACAGGTATATGCACCGACGGCAGAAAGTAGTGAACAAGAAATAGAAGAATTCTACGAAGAACTGGGAATTGCCCTCAAAAACACAACAAAAGAAGAAATCAACATAATTTTGAGTGACATGAATGCCAAGATTGGACAAGGAATAGTCGAGAACGTACTGGGAAATTACGGATTGGGAGTGAGAAATGAGAAGGGAGAACGCTTAATAGAATTTTACCAGCAACAGATTTTACAATTATGAATGCCTTCTTCAAACTACCCCCCAGAAGACTATACACTTGGAAATCTCCGGCTGACTGCAACCACAGAATCGTGAGAAATCAAATTGATTTTGTGATGATAAACAGAAAATACCGCAACTCCGTCACGTCCTGTAAAACCTATCCAGGCGCAGACATACCAACAGACATAACTTGCTACTGGCTCGAATCAGACTCCGATTAAAGAAAATAGTCAAAAAAAGACCCTCGAAGCGACTTGACTTACGAAAACTCCAACAAGAAAATATACTACAACGAACTAAGGATACAATAAATAACGAACTGAGAATTATCTCCGAGGAGAGCAATCCTGAAACAGAAGTAGAAGAGCTGTGGAACAAAATAAGAACATCCATAACTTCCATAATGGAGAGGGAACTGAGGCCCGATAAGACAGCGAAAAGAAAAGAATGGATGACTGATACTATCCTGAGACTTATGGAGGAAAGAAGGCAACACCGAAACAAAGATAACCAAAAATACAAGAAAACGCATAGACAAGTCTTGAAAGCGATCAAGGAGGCTAAGGAACGATGGCTTCAGGAAAGATGTGTAGAAATCGAAATGTTACAAGCAGAACATGACAGCTTCAACCTACATAAGAAAATAAAGGCAGCAACCGGAGGCTATCGAGCGTGGGGTGGAGGAGTAATCCTAGACACGGACAATGGCATCATTCCAGAAACAGATAAAAAAACTCTCAAGATGGAGGCAGTACATGGAGGAGCTCTTCGGAAACGAAAATAGCGACGACATAACTGCAGGAACTGGCAATCTATATCCTGACATGTAATGCTTTACATTTTATTTTTTAATTTCAAATCGGCGAGTTTTATCAAAGAAACACAAGAGATAAAAAAGTTTCTAAACAAACCAAGCTATCCAAATTATTTTTTTTGCATGTGTTTGATAAGATTTTTCTTTAAATTTCGTTAACAAGAATGATAGGGGTAGTTTATTTCAACCCCTTCCACTCATTTTAAAAAAGTGAAAAAATTACCAGAAAGTGTGATTTCATAACAGTAATGCTCCCATAAAATTTCATTAGTCTATCTCTTTTCGTTTTCAAGATAAAAAATAAAAACATTATTTTTCCGCCATCTTTGTACCGCGAATCTCCCTAATGGTTGACTTTTGACCCAACGTTTATGAAGCAAACTATCCTTTATTTTAAACAAGGAATCGCCCCCTGAAGTTTTTCGCATTTGTTTTGAAACACCCTGTATATTTATAATTATTAATTTATTGTCGTTTCATAAAATATTTTGATTAAAAAAAATATGTAAAAGTTGACAACTCTGTGACGGTCAAGCTTAATCACGTGACTAAAGGTTTATTTCGTATGATATATATAATCAATTAGTAGCAAAAATTAAAAGTTTGTTAAATTTTTCAACTAATTTAAGATTACTAAAGTAAACGCCACGAATGTTTGGGAGTGATTCATCGCTTGATGAAGTTAGAATCGACACGCGCGCTATCATTTTTACATTAAAAACGTAAATTTTTACCGCAGACGTAGGTTTTTAAAGGCCCGGTCTAATCATCTTCCTGCGCTCCTCCTACTTATTCTAAAATATTAGCGTGATTGACAAAGACGATACTATATTGCGTTTCTTTGATTGTTTCGTTTTTGTGCGTCAGTCCATTGGTGTGCTTGCAGTGCGACCAATGGGGCATTCCATTTTATATTTATAACCAAAAATATGTTTTGACAAGACTTTGACAGTTAAAACAACAAATTACAACAGATAATATATTGATTATTATATGACTTGAAACACCACGGCACTGGAATTAAGTTTTATGTGACCTTGAACCGATTAGTTCACATGGTAGCGACCGATGAATCCCTCCCAAACATTCGTGGCGTTTACTATAGCACAATTTTTAACGTTCTGGATGCTTACATTAAAATTATAGGAAACTTCTATGCTAATTTTAATAAAACCACTAATTTATTCCACTAATTTGGAGATTCTGAATGAAGCTTTCGAATATGTCAATTCTATCAATTTTTACCGCGAGTCAATATGAAGGTGAAAAAACTGCAATTATTGAGTGTATCCTATTAAATATTTAAACATCTTGAATAAAATTGAAAGCCACTGATAAATTAAAAATCAGGCAAACCATATTAAAAATTCCTTCGCAGTCGCCAACTTTGTTGATAAACTCCTTGCTTAGTTTTTCTATTTAATGGGTCTTATTTTTCTAATCTAAACTGACATATTATGGTGCAACGATTTACATGCCAAAAGCAGTGCCAATTGGAGGAAATCGTTGCCTACCCCACTCACCGTCCACCTCTTGGCTCTCGAAGTGATCCGCTGCCGATGGAGATTCTTCTGCTTCTTTTTCCACTTTGACAGATTCTATTGGTGCGGTTACTTGTTCGCCATCGGCAAAATCGCTGTCGTAAAACGAATCGGAACTGGGATGATCCTGAAAGTATAGAATGTTCAGCCATCGTTCAACGTCACGTCATATATTGTCGAACTCTTTTAATCACTTGCCAACCAGATGAAAGAAATTGGTGACGTCATTACGGCATTTCGTAAATTACTGCATAATTTTTTAGTAACTGTCATTGTCGATTTATTTGGGGTTATAATTTTATTGACGGACATCGATCAATGTCAAATTTTCTAAAAATATGAACTGATCTCAGACACACCCTAAAACTCATATTTGACAAATAATGATGACGTAACGGTGAACGATGGCTGAACAGTCTTTATATTATTGCAACTAAAAGAGTTTTTTAAATTCCAGTATTAAAAAAATACACCAATCAACCGGAATATACACGGTGTCCCAATATTCCGTGGACATAGAACTACTATGTATGTTTGAAATCAAAATAAGTTCATTTTACACAATTTACCTCTATACAAAAGTACTTCGTTTATCCACTAGAGGGTATCAAACTTTAAAAAAATAAACATATTTTTTCAGATATTTTAAGAACAGTTATTCCGATTTGAATTTGCTTTGTGGTTAGAAGCTACAAAGATTTATACAATATTCAAAAATGTTTTGGTATATTACATATCGGGAACTGTAATTTTTTTATTGTAGAAGAACATAAAAAAACTTACTTTAGTTATATATTATATGCAAGTAAAAGCTTATTCAGTACCAGCTGGTACAACATTCATATTATATGCTGCACACCTTAGACAACTCTAAAGAATCTGGTGGTTCCATCATGTCTCAAACGTATCGGTCCTTGAAAAAGCTAACTGCGAGAGTATTGAAGTCATGGTTACAAAATCCCGCTTAAGATGGGCTGGTCACGTATGCAGAATGCAAGAAAACCGCATACCAAAATATCTGCTTTACGGTGAGCTTGTAGACGGTAAGAGGAGACCGAGTGAACAACTGAAAAGGTACAAGGACATTTTCCACGAAAACTTCAAGGGGCTCAACATGCAGAATGAGTGGGAAAAAGCAGCTCACAATAGAACTCAATGGAGAAGAGCTGTAAACTCAGTTAACAGCGACAACCAAAAAGTAAAGACGCAACAAAGTAATGAGATTTTTGAATGTCCGGAGTGCGGTAGGCAGATAACATCACGTATCGGGCTTTTCAGTCACAGAAAAGCTCATGAAAGAAAACGCCTTGCGTGACCATCTTCTTTATGTGTGTCGAATACTCGTCAGCGAGTAACGGCTGTTACATAACATAAGATAAGCGTATATCTACGTAGGTACAAATAATTCCATTGAAATGACAGTAAGTGGGTAGGCTGGTGAATAGGTTTATTTACGTCTTTTGTCGCGGCCTATTTACTAAATTATATGATTCTCAAGGCGTTTATTTTTTAAAGTCATTAAACGACCTTTATCTCTACACTTTGTAAAAATATTATATGTTAAAAAAATACGTTAAAAAATATATCTTTGCTTTAACAACGGATTTCATATTCGGCATTAAAAATATGTGAATCATAGTCACGAATATTATGAAAAGAAGTACAAGAAAAATAAAACGGTGAATTCGGAGATGGATTATCATTTCTGTAAACCAAAAGTACAATATTATCGAATTTTCCAAATAGAATTCACAAAAAAATTAAATTTGGTATGGGAATATCAAGCAATAGTTGGCATGTACGGGAACAGGAGGATACAAAACAGAATAAGATAATATAAGTACAATATGAAAAAAAAGTCGGCGATGGTTATGAAATGAAGATCGCTGTCATTTTATATATAAAATTATATGGAAATGTCATCGATCGACATTCCCAAGCCATCTGGACGCCGTTTTTTTTTTCATTATACAGTAGAATAGGAGTTACATAGACTTTTCAACGGGAGGATAGTGATAGTTGCGTCTATCATTTTAATTCACGGGTGAATTATATTTTCTATTGTTTTTTCAATGTCCTCTGTTTGTCCTATGCTTCAGACTCACTAGAGAGTATTTATAGAAAAAGGTCAAAATTTGGTATGGGAACATAAAACAAGAAATGACATGTACGAGAATTGAAACCGTAGGTGACATACGAAAACTCACTCAACAAAGATGACCAGCTGGACCTCAATAAGCTGTGGTAGTAAATTTCATTATATAATAATTATTATTACTAGCGATGGGAACTATCGAATGATTTAGACTATCGAATGGTTACTGAATGAATGATTTCAACTATCGAATGGTTTTATTCGAATAAAATCATTCATTCATTTGTATACTAAAGCATATGTGACAATGCTTTTGATAAATGAAATTTAGTATTCGTTTGATTTTTGTGTGCGTCAGTGCATTATTAGTTCTTCCAAATTTTTATTTTATTAGTCCTTTCCTATTTTTGCGTTTATTAAAATATTTAAAATACTAAAATAGTAGTTTTTTAAGTGACGATTGTGTGCGTGTGCAGGTGGTCAAAATTTCTCCGAAAATTTGTGTGATTTTCCGTAGCCCGATCTTTCAATTATTTAATTTTATATGGTATATAGTCTATTTTTTATTGGGAAATTTTGAGAACTAGCAATTTTTAAGAGAGATGAGATCAACTTACAATTAATTTTAAAAATACATATTTGTATTTTAGATGTTTTAATAATATGAATTAGTTGAACTTAATAATCATATTTAAGTAATGTGGTTAAGGAAATGGGGTTTTATTTATATAAATTTTTATTTATATAAATTATAAATGGGGTTATTTTAATTTATTAAACCAGTCTTTGCTTAAAAACATTAAAAATAATTTTCCTACATCCAAAATAACAAGTATTATTGCAGTGTAACAACAGAATATTAATAAAAAAATGCAAAATATATAGACATACTATCCCTAACCCCCTAACTAAAGCCAAACAATAATATTCTTTGCTAATATCAACTAATACCAATATATGGCAACAGCGCCCTTCATAATTTATTTTCTGTGTAAATACTAGCACCTCAATAAAAAAATAATGTGTCCTTATCTTTATCTGACTCCGCAAAAAATCAAAGATACCGCCTTCTTTCATAGCATTGCCACCGACCGCTGTCGGGTTTCTCGGAAAGAAACCTACGTCGCCGGGCGACAGCTAAAATCCAGTTAATATTTTATTATAATCGACCCTAACGAAACGTGGGATCCGGATCAGGAGATCAAATGCAGGATCGAACAAGCAAGATCTACTTTTCTGAACCTGCGAAGATTTCTCACAGATAGGAATTTGAACTTCGGCCTTAGATACAGAATGGTGAAGTGCTATGTCTGGGCCGTTTTGTTATATGGTGTGGAAGCATGGACACTGAAGGTAGCAACAATAAACCGAATTGAAGCCTTCGAAATGTGGACCCTACCACGAATGCTAAGAGTGCCCTGGGTCGACCGTGTTAGGAATGAAGACATTCTCAGAAGAGCTGGTCTGGAACAACGTGAACTCTTCGAAATCATCAAGAAGAGGAAAATAAATAGCCTATTTGGGACACATACTACGTGGAGAACGCTATCACTTTCAGCGTCTGATTCTCCAGGGTAAAACAGAGGGGGGCAAAAGGGGGATAGGACGAAGGAAGCTATCCTGGCTGAGAAATATTCGTCATTGGACAGGCATACAGGACTTCCAAGCACTCCAAGTCGCGGCAGTTAACAGAACCCTCTGATGAGGAAGAAAAAGATGAACGCCTACGCAGGAATCTGCAGGGCACCTTAAGAAAAGATCCTGACGAATAAATTAATTTCATAAATGAATGAATTTTATAAATGAATGGTTTTTGCTGCCGAATTACTAGAATACAAAGTTTCAAGACAGATTACGCATCTATTCGATAATTTTTATTCGAATAGTTTTCAACGAATGTTTTCTTATTAGCTATCGAATTATTCGAATCAATTGCAACTATCGAATGTTTCGATAGTATTCATTCGATGGTTCCCACTACTAATTATTACACAGAAATATTTAAACTACAAAAAATAGTTTTTTGGAGAAATTATTATCATTTTAAATATTCGCATAAAAAACGCAAAAATTTGAAAAATATCTTTACCGAAAGCGAACTGGCCGATCTTTGTATATCCTGCACGTTGAGCGACTCGGCTTCCTGCAGCCACTCGTCCACGTTTACCCCGCCTCTCCTCAGACACTCGATCCTGGCCTCGGCCTTGGTCTTGGCCGTTTCCGCCCGCCGGATGTTCTGTTTCATCTCCTCGATCTTCGTTTCCAGGTCCGGACCGTTGGGGTCGTTCGGATCCGTCTGAAATTTAATAGAGCGGCAATTAAAGTCGGTAAACATGCATTTTTTAAGGGACATTCCTGATTTTTTAGTACAAACATACGGTATTATCAAAAAAGGCGATAACTCGCCTGAAATCACGACTGATAAATACACTCAACGACGGGCACGGAAAACAGGCACCTTAAAATTTTGATTTTAAAGTTTTATATATTGTGTTCTAGTGGACCGATTTTGGTGATCTTTTGAGCAATTTGTAGTTAAATTATTTGACTTTTCAGTATTACTTTACAAATTAAAAATGGAAGTTCCCATCTGTCAATTATACGAGGGCACAAAATGTTGTATTATTTTGATGAAAGTTTGGAACACCCTGTGGAATATGTTAAAAAGCAAGGATTTTAAAAATAATTTTATCATCTAGGTGCATATTTTCTCGATAGTTTACTTTTTGGTTCATCTCAATAGCTTTATTCTTTTTGGAGATATTCGCTTTTGAAGAAGACATTAACAATTTTTTGTAATTTTTACATTATGCCTTTGATTTTAGTCTCAGTCAACAACCTATGAAATAGTGTTTATGATTTATGTAATGTAACTTTTATTGAATAATTATATTATTATTGTCTGTTGACTGTTGGGCACTTACTGTAGCAGAGATGGTTTTAAGTCCAGAAGTTGTATCCGCTATAGATGCTTTAATTGAAGACGATAGAGATTAAAATTATGTCTCTAAAACCGCCGTCTGCCAGCTTTTCAAATTTATAATGAATTGCACCTAAGGAACGTAGATGTAAGTATGTCAAGAGGGCCTGCTTCGGGACCACAATTTACTAGGTCTGTTGACTGAGACAATGCATAGCAATGCAACAAATGCATGGTTTCAAAGTAAAAATTACGAACAAATGTTAGTGTCTTCGTCAAAAACGAATATCTCCAACAAAAATAAAGCTATTGAAATGAACCAAAAAGTAAAATATTGAGAGAAGATGCACCTAGATGATATAATAATTCTTAAATTCATTGCTTTGTTAACGTACTCTACAGGGTGTTTCGAACTTTCGCCAAAACATCAACATTTTGTTTTCCCTCATATAATTGACAGATGGCAACTTTCATTTTTAATTTAGAAAGAGACACTAAAAAGTCAAATAATTTAGCTACAAATTGCTTAAAAAATCATCAAAATCGGTCCACTAAAACACAATATATAAAACTTTAAAATACATAAAATTTTAAGGTGCCCGTTTTTCGTGCCGATGCCGATGAGTGTATAAGTAATTTGTATTGGTCTTTTATTGCTTGACTGGTTTTATGATAATTTTTACCTTCTTGATTTTGTTCTATGATATTTTAGCTTGGCCCTGAAGATGAGAGCTCAAAACATATCGCCCCCTATTTGTAAAAACGTTTATATAAAAAAATTTAATATACTCTGTTTTTTTTCTCAGGTAAGATTTCGACAGACGATGACAGAAGAAAAGCAGATGACGTCCCATACCAATCTATTTATTTTACTAAAAAAAGTTTCTAATAGTTTTTAAGTTATCTATGGATGGGTTTAAATATAAATCCGTCATGCGTCGTGTCTTGTTGTTTTTAACCAGTTTTATTGGTTTATTTAAAAAATGACAGATCGTATTTCAATTTTATTGGTTTGACGGAACGATGAACGACAAACGGACGCCGATGCGTATGAACTCGCCTTTAGATTTTTGTCATTTTTGACGCTTGTCAAAGTCTTGCCAAATTCTAGGTTATAATTTTGTGTCAACTTTTGTTAAATACCCTGCGTTTTGGAATATGATGCATTTTGATTCGTATTATTACGTGTGTTTTGTGTCTTTTGAAGTCAAGTGGAGGAAAAATCGAGTGAAAATTAACTGTAGACCCAGAGCACAGTTTATGGTTAATACTCGCTGCCAGGGCAGAAAGTCTTATACACCAATGAAGTTGCTATCGATAAAGTTTGTATACCATTTCGTCGTAGATAAGTGCATCTTGTATATGGTAGAAGGATCAAACTAAACACATACTAAAAACTGGAGTAGCTGTAAAATATCGATATCACACGATAGGTAAATAATGGATTTTAGTACTGCAGAAAAATAATGTCAAAAGGTACTGGTTTAAAAAAATTAAGATTAAAGTTAATTAATCAACCTTTAAGGTATAAAATTTGGTAGGTGTTATTATTAATAAAATAGTTTGTTTTATTTACCTATGTTGTTTTATTTATTCCTGTGGATTATTACAAATTTGTATTTGTACATAAGTTATATTGATAAATATAATCATAAATGCGGGTAGTTTCATAAAGCTTAAAGTAAATAATAGTTCTTTTTCATATTTTTTGGTATGTAGTGTCTTGTTCTTGTTTGTTTTGTATTAACACATACCGTTTTTATTAAATAAAATAACTCGATTACATTTTTTCAGTTTTATACAGTTTTTTTCACAATATTTTGAAGTAATCACTTGTCAGTCAAATTTTAAATATTTCCTGCTATGCGTTCCAGTTGCACCAACTTATTTCTTTGTAAAATAAAATAAACTACTTTGAAATTAAAATGACAGACACATCTATCACTGTCAAGGATCTTCTCGTTGGACAGACTATACATGATTGTGAGGATATTGTGTCTTTATTCCCTTATTAGATGATATTCATTGATAAAAACACGTTTTATTTGAAAATGTAACATGCTTTTTTCAACCCTGCTATCTATAGAAATAGAAAATAAAGCATGAAAAACATACATTTAAAACTAAAATTCAACGTCAGATAATATTTTACGATACTTATACCGGGTGCGTCTCAAAAGTGGCTCACCCCTATAATTTTTTTATTTTTTCAGATAAAACAACGAGATTTGGTATGTTAGTATATGACAAAAATTAGGATTGATTAACATATTCAATTGTTTTCTGTCAGTGCACAAATTGGTTTCACCGGAAATAACTATAACTTTTGATTTTTAAATAGCAGCCTCGGTATTTTTTTACTTTATTCGATAGAAAATGACACTCTGAATAGAATGACATATCATATATCAACTTTTGACATTTTCTCATATTGTTTATTTGAAATTGTAACATGCGGTTCATAACAACAATTTGACTCGAAATACCAAGTGTGTGGTATCAAATTATTCGTAAAAAAATGCTTTTTCCAAATATGCTAATGAGCCACCCTCGTTCCCTTTGAAAAAATTGAGATATGATTAAAAATACGATTTGGGCATCTTTTAACCGGCCAGGACAAGGCTCCTTGATTAAAAATTAGTGTTTTTAACACAGTCATGGCACTCTAGATTGAAATTTAAAATACAATTTGTTTTTGAGCGCATATATCTAAAGTTGACATATGATATGTCATTCCTTTCATTAATTTCATTCATATGTCATTCGAGTGTCATTTTCTATTGAATAAAGTAAAAAAATTCCGAGGATGCCATTTAGAAATCAACAGTTGTAGTCATTTCCGGTGAAACAGGAAGTGATCAAAAACAATTGAATACGTCAATCATTCCTAATTTATGTCACATACTAACATACTAAATCTCATTTTTTTATCTGAAAAAATAAAAAAGTTATAGGGGGTTGAGCCACTTTTGAGACGCACCCGATATACAGGGTTGTTCACCACATACGACACGGAATATTGTAGCTAAACGATTAGATTTTTACAAATTGTAAGTTTTTTGGGTTCGTTGAAGGACTATTAGAGCTACAATTTAAAAATATTTTTACAAGATACAGAGTGTCCCAAATAAATAAAAAATATCAAAGTTGTATTTTTTTAAATGGAACACCCTGTATATTATTACATTTTTAGTTCCTACGATTAAAATAAAGGTAAATTTGATTAAGCTTTATTACACTTAAACCTTACCGTTTTTGAAATATTTTCAATTTTGTGAAATTGCAGTATAAATTTTAAGGCTTCATTTCCCCGAGGGTATCAAAATTTAATACTAAATATTTACTGAAGTTTATTTATTGATCAGTTATTGTGTTGCAATATTAAAAATTTCACTACCTTATACAGAGTGTCTAAATATTTATTTTAAATAATTATTAGCTTTAAACGGCAATAACTTGTTTAATTTAAATGGAACACCCTGTATATTTTATAAGAATCAGATGCACAATTTAATTGACTATCAAATTGTATTATACCATTTTTACCTGTCTCTTCAAGTTTCCGTAGAAAATACATTTTATTGTAATTTAGAACGTATTTATCAATATACCCATGGAATACTGACATTTTAAATTATTTTTAAAGATGTACCTAATTTTTAAAGAGTACAGATACTGATATTGTGGATATAGTTCGTTTATTTCATTAAAAAATAAAAAAAACTGTTTAAATGTTTATTAAAGAGGACCAATTAATATGTTTCCAGTATTCAAACTACATTAATTGACTGTTTGCGTTGATTAATAATAATTGCTTCAAATACTAAAAAACTGAATTATGTATGTGTATTAGATAGTGTGGTAAAAAAACTAACATCTTAAAAATGTTATTTCACTTTTTGACAAATGCTTATTTATAACAACAGAGACGTTCATTTTCATAACTTATTATTATATTGATTTCTGATTCAAATCCACATTTATTTAGAATAATTTATTAACGAACACAATTAAGTATGTAATTAATTAGTATTTGGGCAGAAATACTGGTGGTATATTTAATTAAAGGTATACACTTTTATAAAGTTTAAATAGTTTTCTTTTTGCATACAAATGGGCTAGTAATATTATCGTTTTACTAAAAACGATAATATGACTAGCCTGTACATTTTGTAGATTTGTTTTAAAAACAATCTAAAATGTCAATATTCCATGGGTATATTGATAAATGAGGTCTAAATTATAAGAAAATGCATTTTCTATGAAAACTTGAAGGGATAGATAAAAAATGGTATAATGCAATTTGATAGACAATTAAATTGTGCATCTGATTCTCATAAAATATACAGGGTGTTCCATTTAGATTAAACAAGTTACTGCCGTTTAAAGCTAGTAATTATTTAAAATACATTTTTAGACACTCTGTATAAGGTAGTATAATTTTTATTAATGCAACACAATAACTGATCAATAAATAAACTTCAGTAAATATTTAGTATTAAAAATTTTGATACCCTCGGGGAAATGAAGCCTTAAAATTTATACTGCAATTTCACAAAATTGAAAATATTTCAAAAACGGTAAGGTTTAAGTGTAATAAAGCTTAATCAAATTTACCTTTATTTTAATCGTAGGAACTAAAAATGCAATAATATACAGGGTGTTCCATTTAAAAAAATACAACTTTGATATTTTTTATTTATTTGGGACACTGTATCTTGTAAAAATATTTTTAAATTGTAGCTCTAATAGTCCTTCAACGAACTCAAAACTTACAATTTGTAAAAATCTAATCGTTTAGCTACAATACTCCGTGTCGTATATGGTGAACAACCCTGTATATTATATAATTAGTCTTGCCAAAAACAACAAAACTATTCTAAAATTCAATTAAGATACAATTATTTCAGACATTAAATCGTAACACAAAGGCATAGTAACAAAATCCTACCTATTTGAAATAGACAGAACAAATACGTCTGAAATAAATACGCCGGACAATATCGTCAGGACATTGTTCGTTTAATGAACGTACTGTGTGGCAGACATACATATTATAAAACGTACCTTTTGTCCGGCTTCCCTCATGGCGTTGTACAGTTGCAATTTCCGCACGCTTTCCCGGATGTTATTGTTTTCGCGGGCGATTTTCGTTGCCCAGCGGCGCGCCTCTTTGCTCAGCGTCGCCGAGGCCGAGTCGTGTTCGGCCGTCACGTGGTCGACGGGATCGTTGTCGCAGGGCTAAACAAAGAAAATATTAAATAATGTCTATACCTTTACAATCCAAATAATTTGAGAACGGTTGCTCGTAAATATTTTTACCTTTTTGAGACCTTTTTGCGTATAAACGGTCGAAATATATTATTTTAGTATTGAAAATACTTCTAGCCGCGTTATATGGGACCCATCTTTGAAAAAACGACATGCTAGAAGCAACATGGGTTCAATAACCTGCCTGTCAACACGTACTTAAGTTAATAGAGCCGGCATTGATGAGCGAATAGGGCAAGGTCGAGTCTGGACCGGCGGATAAAGAAAGCGATATTAGACAGTTAAAGCACGGCCAAAGACGTAGACGTAAACGTATCGTTTGAAATGTACGCTTGCGCAGTGAGAAATTCACTTGCGTTTACGGATACGTGATACGTATCTTTACGTGCCTTTACGTACGTACAAAACGCAAACGTATCGACCCGAAGGAGTTTCGATTTTCACCCGAATGAAGCCGAACGTACAAATTCACAAACAACTCGTTTCCACAACTGGCTAGTAATTAAGTTATTTCATAAATTTTGGGGCCAGTGTCACAGAACTGGGCCTATTTTATTACAATAAATTAGTATGAAAATATTAAGCATCATAATAAACTCATTTTGGAATCTATTTAATTAAATGCTAGTTCTTATAGCCAAAATTCATATGAGGATTCTAAAAGATGGAATCTAATAAATAATCATAAAGCTGTGTCTGTTTTCCAATATTTTTTTATTACGAAGAGCATTTTAAGTTGTAAGGACTACTTTCTGTAATAAAATAATTTCCTTTTATAATTTTCTTCAGTTTTCGATATTACTTTTATAAATTTAATGTGGAATCAATGGAATAATAGATATCCATTTTCAATTTTAAAATTAAATAAATTGTTTCACAAAATAATTTAGAATTACAAATGTACCATTTGCGTTACGTACGTCAAAATACTTGCTTTAACTCTTGTTTACACGACAACACAACGTCAGACGTAACGTAAGTTTCATTTTAAACGAAAATATGTCAAGGCATGGGTTGTTAGGTACAGTTTGGCTATTTTAATCTATTTCCGTATGAGAAACAAGGGGCAAATTATACGAGAAAGAGCAGAATCACATAAATAATAAACTTAGACTAATTACCATATTTTTTTATATGATTATTATTTTTTTAATTATCAACTTAGGACAAAGAAAAAGCTTGCGTGGTTTCCACCGCCAACAGGCGTTAAAACAAATGAATCCAAGGCATTGTCAAATATTTATTGGGATAAGTTTTTACCGTTTGAATATTGTTGTAAATAATAATTATTTTCATTTAATTAGTGCTAACTTATCAAAATTCACAACACGGCGAAATTTCAACAAAATCGGCCAACGGATCTTTGAAATATTAATAAAAAAATGTCTATTAGGACTTGACACCCTGTATCTTTAAAATTATGCATTTCCGGACACATGTTTATATTAACTTTTTACCTTAAAAACACAAAGAATCACCTTCTGAAGTTGGCCACATACTTAATTAACAGCCTGTATTTAAAAATGTCTAGCTAGCGATTTTGTAAGTAAAGCTATGTTTATTTTAATAGAAAAAAAAATACATTTCATAAAAAATAAACAAACCCATAATTCAACTACTATACACTACAAAATAAAACACTAAATCACCACAATACACCAAAACACTTTTACTTTTACACTGGACGCGCGTTTCGCTAACCATGTTACCATCATCAGCAGATGATTATAAACTCATGGTTAGCGAGTAAAAGTGTTTTGGTGTATTGTGGTGATTTAGTGTTTTATTTTGCTGTGTAACACCAAAGGTTTCGAAACTCCGGTTAACCGAAACTGACCCACATTTTGGTATATTTCGGGCTCCTACGTGGGCAACTCTACGTTTAACCAATATTCGGGCTTTTACGGTAACATAATACTCATTCTGATTGGTTTAATCTGGCTCCATAACAAAACTGTGGGTTCGAAGTGCTATTGCAAATTAATGCAATTAATTCTATGTATACACTCTCATAAAAAGCCATCACGATAAAAATTAAATATCAAAATTATTTAACGTTGCGAACGGTTCACTTGTTCACTATACGTATCTGGAATATATTTGCGAATGGCGATCAGCGATACGATGGTGCGTCCAAACCTGGGAAGACGAGCGCGAGACATTCCAAATTCGCTGTGTGGACGAGTCTCGCTAGAGCCTCGTTGCTATCCGTCCCCTGTCGGTTTTCCAACGGCCGATCAAAGAAAGCTCGAAAGTCTGGACGTGTTTTTGGTAGGCCCACCCGACTGCGAGATATTAGCTCTGATTTATAAATTTCGACCATTTAAAATTAAGTAATCTCAAATTTTTAAATCGTACACCGTATGTATTATCATTTTTTCTGATAGAATTTACAAACTTTATGTCATTGATAATTTTTACCCTACCGAAATCCAACATTTCTTTAAACAAATTGAATTATTACAACATCTATTAATTTTAGATATATAATATCAAAAAATGACAAGAAAAGTTACCGAATTGTACGTATGTATAACCCAATAATAAAATAAAAAATAGGGTATTCCCATTAGAAAATATGTTATATCCGCAACACTTTTTTGAATTACCCTGTATACTCTATAGTAATGTTAAAATGTGTTTCTTAACCTTACCAATAACTTTTTTATTTAACATTTTGTTCTAAAAACGTTAAAAAACGTATTATGTAAAAAATGTCGTGTAAGGGATAATGGGGAAAACAGCCAAAAGGGGGAAAACCGACGATGAATACCATGTTAAACACCGAATATCATATTAAAGATACAAAAATGTATTACTGTATGCGTTATTATTTGGCCATCGTTTGTTATATTCAATTGCAATTTAATATGTGTTTGGCTTTCTTTCACTATGATCCCACTCGGCTTGTCTCGTGGCAGGTTGGCGTAAAAAATAGATAGAAAATGTCTCGCTCTCGTCTCGCTCTTGTCTTGCTCTCGTCTCGCGCTCAGCTCGTCAGGTCTGGACGCACCATAGACTGCCGGAGTGGTGACGTCATGAATGTCAAATTGCTTTCCAAACAAGGTTTAGTTCTTTATATTTCTATTGAGCTCTTCCAAATGACGTGACAAATTAATATAAAATGTAAAAAAACAGGTGATTGCCGATAACCGCCGACTTGTATCTGGTATTTTCAATACGCCTATGATGGTTGCGCATGTTGCAAAATCTGTGAATTTTTTCCTTAGTGATGCAAGCGGTTACAAGTACCGACAAAAAGTTATTAAAAAAATAATAGACTAATAATAATAATAAATTCAAATAATGTCATTTTAACAGTACGTCAACGGTTTCTTGTAGACGTATCTGTTTTAAAAAAGTAAAGTGTTCTCGAATAGTTGAATTTAAATATTTTAAATAGTTTTTTTCTTCTTTCTTTGCATTTTTTTTTGCTTCCGAAACGTTAAGCATTTTTTCTTTGTTAGGCAAATTTGTATAACTGTAAACATAACTTCTGACAATTTTATTTTGTAGATTTTCTTGCAGTGCAGTGGCGAAATACCCATAAAGAATTTTTTTGGAGGGAAAAAGTTATTTACTCTTTAAAACAGTTAAAGAAATGGAGGTGGCGCTCCCCACAAGTAGAAGTTATACTGACATCGAAATCGAATTTCTCATGTTAAAAATCATCCAGATACCTTCTTACTGCAAAAATTATTTAGAAATAAAAAAGAAACTTCTACACGCCTAAAACTCAGCATTTTAGTTGATTTCAAAAAATTCCGACCGCAGCGCTCTATATGGCAGAAATCAGAAGTTTTCACTATGTATTTTACGCCGGCCCGGCCGTCCCGGTTACAGCTCGTGTAGATCGCATTAAAATAATATTGAAATCGTGGCTTTGTCATAATATTTAAGTATTTTAGTTTTTTGCTAGTGCAGTTATTGAAACTATAAAACTCGCAGATAGGAGGTTTGTGTGATGAGATAAACAGCGTTATTTCGGGTAGTAAAAATTAACTGAAAAAGAACTCGAACTGGGGTCGCGTTGTGTCTGACAACTTCAAATGTTGTTGTTGCAATAACAATCAATATTTCAACTTTCCCGGATATTCAACTTGCCCGAATCAACATTTCATAGCTTCAGAGCTTGTAACGTTTTTAGTTCGTTACATGTCTTTGATTATGATATATGATGTCTGGCGTATCATCACCGGATTCCCTATCGTTCCGGCCGGATAATTTATTTGACGAATTTTTACGTTCTCTAGTCCACAACCCTGTTATCGTTTGACACAACCCTGTTATCGCTCTGTGGAAGCGCTGTCAACATCGCTTCTGTCAACTCTCTGTGCTGTCGACTGATTTTTACTTTTAGCGCTCTGTAGCCTAACCTAACCATCCCGGCTTTTAGAAATGGTGATTATTTAAATCTTGCTGTATAATCTGAATCAGCTGTTATTTCAAAGCAACAGGGTAGAGTTTTGGATGTCCCAACCTAACTTGTATTTGTATTTTGCTGGCACGTTGGCGTCCCTTTTCTTTTGTCCTCCAGAATGTCACATGGAAAAAAGGACATGTTCTTTATTATTTAGTGAGCCCTCGGAAGTAATTCGAGGGTCCAAGGTACGGACTATTTCCAAGGTACAGGCATTATCCAAGGTCCTAGTAGTGTTCCAAGGTACGGGTAGTGTTCCCTTGTACCATTATCTTATGGACGGATGTCCCGTGGACGAGTGTCCCCAGTAGGAGTGATTTATCTTACATATAAAGTGCTCCAGAGTGGATGTAGCTTGAGCCCCATGCTGCTTCGTTCCCATCTATAAGCCAGTTAGTAGTTACGGCTGTATCAATTCATGGTGTCCTCATTCTGGCCCCTTTTATTGTTTTGGCCAACAGGATCGCCGACAGACAGTACAGAGATATGAGCCCACCTCACGCTGCTACTCTTTGAAACAGGATTGCCTCAAGAACAGCTAAGTGTAGATTTAGGTTCTAGTTTTCAGTCGATTTTCAGTCTTAACTTAACGTACATTTTAAACGATATCGTACAGACTATATTTAGTGGTTAGATTATTAAGAACATTTATGTCGATTTAGTAGTTACAATATGATTTAGATTTTTAGGTTTCATTACATTACGCCTTGTAATAGTATTACTTTTTTATAGATATTATTATTGCACTAACATCATATAAAATATATCAAATTAATTAAAGTAATGCTACATTTCATATATTCTCTTAAACGTTACATGTCTTGTATTTTATCATAGTTGTTTTCATAGATATTTAGTACAATTCTTAACACCACTTTCGTTGACATATAACCACTATAATAATTATTAAAATTGTACAATGCTATTTACCATCACAGTCCATCTTGAATAAATAGTGAAGCTTCACACCGATTTGATCAAAATAAAAGCAAAAACGGATTCAAGCAGTTCGACGAAACAAGTGACTAAACAAAGTGCCCAAAAATTAAATAGACATATACTATGAGATGATAAAATATAATTTGCAGTATTAATGGTATATTCTTTTTTTAATCAACTAGTGCTTAAATTTTTTATGAATATCATCTAAAATTACAATTTTGTACCTTCAAAAAATTTCGTTATAGCCGAAATAGCCCAAGTTATGTCCCCACTAGCCAAACCGGTGTTACCGTAGTTGCTTAGCTTCAATAATAAGTTATAATACCATTTTGCCAGCAATTTCTAAATTTTGCCAGCAATTTCTAAATTTTGCCAGCAATTTCTAAAATTATAGAAAAACATCTACATAATCAAGTTGTTTCATTTGTAGATTCAAATAAACTAATACCTGAATGCCAATCTGGTTTTCGTAAGAACTACAGCACTACCACTTGTTTATTGAAGCTGGTTAATGATATTAGAACAAATCAAGAAAATAAAAATATGACGTGTCTTAGCTTACTAGACTTTAGTAAAGCATTTGATACTCTAGACTATTCATTGCTCCTAGCAAAATTACAGTATTTTGGATTTTCAGACGGCTCTTTAGAATTGATAAAAACCTTTTAAAAGATAGATCACATTGTGTTGTCATGAAACGGGGAAGTTTAAAACAAAAATCTAGTTATATTCCTATGATTTCTGGGGTTCCTCAGGGATCTATTCTGGGGCCATTTTTATTTTCGTTATATGTAGCTGATATGGATAAGGAATTACAGTTTTCTAAATTGCAGCAATATGCAGATGATTCTTAAATTTATTGCAAAATAGATACTAATAATTTGGCACAATTTCAGTTAAATTTTAACGACGATCTTAATAAAATTAATAAATATGCTCTGGATCATAATTTGAAATTAAATGCCGGTAAATCTTGTGTTATAGTATTTGGTAGTGATATAAACAAAATTACAAATACGGCTGATAACATGAATATCCATATAGATAATGTAGCGATACCCATTGTTACAGAGACTAAAAATCTTGGAGTCTATTTTCATGCGAAGCTTTCTTTTCAGGCACATATAACTACTAAATTAAAGGCTGCTTATATAGGGTTGAAGAATTGTTCGTCTCTTAAGAAATATATACCATCAAAGACTAAGTATCAATTATGTGACACACTTATTTTATCTTTATTTGATTATGGCGATGTTGTTTATGGTACATCCATAAACGCTAGATTCTCTAGAAAAATCCAAATACTTCAAAGCTCGTGTCTACGGTTTTCTTTTAACATTCCTTTTAGAGATCATATAACGCCACATCTTAAAAATTTATCTATTTTATCCATGACTAACAGACGACAATTTCATTTAATGACATTATTTATCGAATTTTAACTACAGAGCAGCCTCCCTATTTGTTCTCATTGTTTCACTACGTTGACCATGATCATTCGACTAGACAAGTGCATTATTTTAAAATTCCTCAACACCGAACAGCTAACTTCCAAAAATCTTTCAGTTTCATAGCGCCACATTTGTGGAATAATATTTCTAATAACTTTAAATTTCAATCCTTTACAGATTATAAAAAACAAATTAAAAATCATTTACTAAATTCGTAAATATTATAATTTCTTCGACTGATTTGTGAGATCTTGTTCTTCTGATATGCCCGTCATTGGTTGCTGTTCCGGTTTTTACACTGTTTCATTTTGGCTCTCTGCTTATCTCCGCTCATCCCTGATAAAATTATATTTTCACTTTTTTTATATAATTTTAATTTTTTTAATTTTGTTTATTTCTATAATTTAATTTATTTCCATTTTGTATTTGGGGTCGCACCACTCTGGCCCTTTGTGCCATTGTATCGGTTTTTTAATCGCGGTGCGATCCCTTTAGACACACCTTTATTAATACTAATATTATTCTGTAAAACTTAATGGGGTCTAATAAAGAAATTTGAATTTGAATTTGAATTTGAATTTGAATTTGAATTTGAATTTGAATTTGAATTTGAATTTGAATTTGAATTTGAATTTGAATTTGAATTTGAATTTGAATTTGAATTGAATTTGAATTTGAATTTGAATTTGGTTGAATTTGAATTTTGAATTTGAATTTGAATTTGAATTTGAATTTGAATTTGAATTTGAATTTGAATTTTGAATTTGAATTTGAATTTGAATTTGAATTTGAATTTGAATTTGAATTTGAATTTGAATTTGGTTTTGAATTTGAATTTGAATTTGAATTTGAATTTGAATTTGAATTTGAATTTGAATTTGAATTTGAATTTGAATTTGAATTTGAATTTGAATTTGAATTTGAATTTGAATTTGAATTTGAATTTGAATTTGAATTTGAATTTGAATTTGAATTTGAATTTGAATTTGAATTTGAATTTGAATTTGAATTTGAATTTGAATTTGAATTTGAATTTGAATTTGAATTTGAATTTGAATTTGAATTTGAATTTGAATTTGAATTTGAATTTGAATTTGAATTTGAATTTGGAATTTGAATTTGAATTTGAATTTGAATTTGAATTTGAATTTGAATTTGAATTTGAATTTGAATTTGAATTTGAATTTGAATTTGAATTTGAATTTGAATTTGAATTTGAATTTGAATTTGAATTTGAATTTGAATTTGAATTTGAATTTGAATTTGAATTTGAATTTGAATTTGAATTTGAATTTGAATTTGAATTTGAATTTGAATTTGAATTTGAATTTGAATTTGAATTTAATACAAGTTAGAACTTTTTTTCACAAATTATACTTCCTAACACTTTTAGAATTATTATACTCGTGTCGGCATTTTTGGTCTTGGGTGCCAATTTTCGTACGTACGACGAGTACGGTCAATACGCTCAGTAACATAAAATCGACTGAATAAAGAGAGAAGAGCAAGTATTTTCCCAAGCGCATGAAATCTAGCGTCGCCGACGGATTAAGTGGTTATGCAATAAATACTATGCATTTTTGCTCTCTCTGACTTCCTAGATCGCCATATCTCCTATACATGTAAAGACCGACCCAAGGTTTCGCTTGCCAATGGGGTATAAACTTTATTTCGTATACTTGCTATTTAAACTCGTGTATTTGTATATGCCGGTTGTTTACGATATTCTCCGATGGTAACAGCACCGGCGGAGAATGCAATAGGCCTATACGAAGTTTTCCGATTATAATTCGGACCACACTGTATATTTGGTTGTTTCATCCTGTATAATTCGCTGTATCCATGACACAATTATTGTGTATGTATGTATTTAATCTTACCTCAAAGTCATATTGAATGTGTTGTTTCAATACGGGATAGTACAAATAACAACATTGCAGGTTATACTCGCGGGTCAACTGTTTAGCTTGATCACGAATTGTGGTAAACGAATTTTGCATCGCTGAGCAAGTGAGAAGTTCAGTTCGACCTGCGGACAAATAATTATTCTATATATTTTCAGTTCTTCTAGAATAAAATCTGACCCATTCTTACCCATTAATGTTAAATATTCGGCTACTTTATCGTAAACCCCGCTCTCCATGGTACTCATTCCCAATTGCAAATCGATGACGAAATATCTAAATAAAAAAACAATTTTAGCTGTATTTTGCAAAAATACAAGAAATATTTTTTGTATAAATGATTTCAATGTCTACGGATATATTGTAATCACAAAACATTTTCTGATGCACGTCCGTGATTGATGAAAACATTGACATTAAAGTAGTGATCGACATTGACATTAAAGTAGTGATTGACATTGACATTAAAGTCTATAAACCTGACTAAATGAAATTTTGGCAAAAATGTTTAAATTTGTTGTATAATTTAAGATACCGAGCAGCTCTTCATTTTACTTTATAGAGCAAATGATTGTAACAGATATTTTATTTAGATTAAAGCTGCAAAAATTAGTTTAAACCTAATTTTATTATCGCTATGTTGGTCACATTGCGTCGTGTTCAGCAATGTTGTCCTTTATTATTTGACAATTATCCCAATGTCAGTCATTATTTTGTATAATATCGTGTTGTTGAATCTTTGTGAGCAATTCTCATATTTTGCCTATTTTCGTAGTTTTTTTTTAAAAAATTGCACTTTTAAGCACAAACAATTCTTTTAAGAACTAAATTTTCGAGTTTTTGTATAGCATTTCTTGAAATTGTGTGTTGAAAATATGCCGAAGCATTTATACAGTCGAAGAAAAGAGCTTGTAGCTTCACTGATAAACAATTTGAACGAGAACGTGACAATAAAGGTCGTTTATTAATAATTATTACCCTTGACTGCAGTCAGAGAAGTAAGTTTGATGGATAACCACATTATACCACTTTCAAAGTTAGTTTTTATCAAATTCTGTATTATTAGTTTGTGCATTAATAGCACACTCTTACTTGTTATTGCCACTTATGACGTTGGAAGATATGCCTATCAATAAATAGATAAATAAATAACACATAATAACGCTTAGAATAATCTTCATAATGGACTAGTTTTTGCTAATATATAATAAGTAAAATAAGCTATAAAACAAATAAATCAATTAGTTACTAAAATATTAGTTATTACAATTAATAAATCAATTAGTTACTAAGATATTAGTTTAAAAATAAAACGTAAAACTCTTTAAAAAATGATATAATAAATATATTATTTGTCAATTTTAAATTAAGATTCATCTCATAAATGCATCACAATCTGGCAGCGCTGTCGCCATACCTTGTCACTCAAAATTAATCACGTGCATCGGAAATTGTTTTGCGATTACCATAGATACGGTCCACATATTAATATATCGAGCATCAAACTAATAAATATTCAACTGTATTTTAGTATACAGATATTTCGATTTATTTAACTGTGTATAAATATATCAACTTTAATTCGTAAACTCAGTTTATTATAAACTTTAGTATTTGACTTATTATACAGGGTTAAACGAAGAGTTGTTTTTTATCCTAAGTTTAAAACACCCTGTGCAATAATTTCGTGAGCAAATTTTCCTAAAACATTATTTTTCGATCAGAACCCTATCTCCTGAATATTGGACTCATGTCAACATACTTTGCAATTTTTTCAGTTATTCTTACTTTCTGATGTTGTTCTTCATAATGACGAAGTGACTTTGGTGATTATTGTTGTGTACGATAGAATATGGTTCTTAGTGTCGCAGATTGTGGAAAAGTAATTGATCTTGTTTAAGATGGCCGAAATTATGAATATTCGCTTGGCCCTTGAAGAAGAATGGGAAAATATAACACAATATATTTGCAGCCTCATTAACAGTATAGTACAAGTAGATATACATACCGGGAGGTGCATCGCCGTTGGAAACATAGGAAATCCCATGCAAATTTTGAACTGTCCAGATATTGGCTCCCCTATTGGTTTTATAGCGAAGTCATAAATAGATTTTTTCTCTACGTTTGGTACACACATGACAAGTTTGAACAATTTTGCACAAGCCAATTTTGAGTAATTTGTAAAAAACTGAACCGATTTTTTAATTAAAACTGAATAGGTAACAATCAAACACCAGTCAAAAACCGATATAACTTAAGTTGTCAGCGTCATTTTCAAATGTAACTTAATTTTAATAAAATTTTAATATTCAGTACTAGTAATCATAAAATAATAAATACAAGAAGAAGTGTCAAGTCAATGTTAAATTATGGAAACAGCGTGGCTGCCTGGGTAACTAATTTTCAGATATGGCGGCTGGGACATTTGACATGACATAGACATGACAATTTCAATTTTATGAAATTTATTTCCGTTTCCGGATTTTAATGGCGGGCTGTTCAGGAGGTTTAAATGAGGGTTAATATACTTTTTACTCTTTCTAGTAGTAAATAATACAACAAAATTACTCAAAAATATTTATTTGGAATTTAGAACAATGTAAATATGCAAATAAACACAATTAAAGAGATATAAACCAATAAACTACTGTATCAATATCAAATATTTAAATAATATCAGAGATGCTGTGTTAAAGTGAATTAGTAAAGTAACAGTGCATTGACTTACAGAAACTTGAAGATAAATAAATGTTTTCACAGCTTCACGGGCATAAAACTAAATAACTGGAAGCAGGAAAAAGGCAACCGGAACCCACACAAAACCTGGCATCAAAAAAAATATGTAAAAAACATAAATATAGGTACATAAGACTTTTGTGAATTAAATCAAACAGGACTTGAATGAAAATAAAATGAATAAAAAATATAATACATATACATCCAATACCTCATTTTTGTATTTTAAAAATAATCTACATACATAGATTTATAGCATTATTGCTATGAAAATACATAATAGGTATCTATGTGATATGTAATTACGCATTTCTGTTCATCTTGTAGAAAATTAATGTAGGCTAATTATAGTTCAATAATCATAATTTACCTTGTATAACTTGCTTTCAATTGCTCAAAATCACCGATCAGTCTTTAAAGTAGAGATACGGAAAAATCCTTGGCAAAGAATATCCCAAGATCCTTGGGTTTAAAGCTAAAAAAATATAAAAACAGTTAATATATTACCTATTTTTACATATAATATGGCCCATACCTACTACACGCAGAAACGTCGATTTCATAATTTTCTTTATGTAATTAATATCATATATACTTTATTAAAGTGTTAATAAGGAACTTTATATCAAAAAACATCTTTGTACTTATAAATTTCAGCCGAAATATCAGAAACAAACTTCCAATCAAATCTAAACGGCAAAAATTAAAATGGCGCCCGACCTGGCCAGAGGCCTCGGGAGCTAACGCTGACACACAGACAAAAGACAAAGGAACAGGACGCCGACGTGCATAAAAATGTTCCGTAGCAGAAATTGACAGAAATCATATAGAAATATTCAGATTTTTGTCTAGGACAGTCTAGAAGGCCATGCTTTCTGCCTGGGTAGAACCGCGCCATAACTGTTTCCAATTTTCCGGTTTACTGTCACCCCCCTGCTAGTAATGATTTATTGTTATACACACAAAGAAAAATTGAGCATGATAGAATTGTACTATGCGAGAAATAGCTTAGACCAAGCTTAGACAGTGTATCTGACATGTTTCGGTTAATTTCCCCCATAGACAAACAAATAAAAAGAGACTGACAAATATCATGGTAAAGAGTGGGACCGCGTTCCCGTAGCGCAACTCAGAATAACAATTTTGAAACCAATTAGCAGGACCATGGCAGGACGTACGGCTTTATTGCTATCTTTCTTTATTATGTGTGATTTATATGAATAGGAAAGAGATAGGTATAAAACGTATCGTAAGACATTATCGCACATTCTGGCTGACGGAAAATTTAAATTACCCATTATTAGTAGTATTCTTTCATTCTGAAACTGAAAATTTTCACTTAAACTGATTTATTCCCTATACCACGTAAAGGGAACGTGGTGTAGGGAATAAATCAGTTTAAGTGAAAATTTGCAGTTTCTTTCAGAACGAAAGAATACTACTATTATAAAAGAAATAAAAAAAGCAAAAATTGTACTGTTTTATAAACATTTATTTATACATAAAAATAAATAAACTTTTTATAATATAATAACAAAAAATAACAGTCTTTATTCCACCCACCTACCAATTTTAAATGCAGAAGAACTAACTGTTGCAGGAAACAATCGGCCAATTTTTTTAAAGGGCATTAAAAATCTCATTTTCGAAAAAACTGCCTAATTGCAATAACAAAGTGAATATCCAAGCGAAGAAGACTTTACGAGAATCATGATCCTGAACCATTTTCAAGCCAAGTTTTAATCCTAAAACAAAATTAAAATAGGTACAGTACGTCTGTCCGTTCTGTAGCTACGGGGTATCCGTGAGAGGGGAAACGATATTCTCTCGATGTTTTTCGTACAAAAATAGACGACGCGTACCATCAATAAAAATTCAACAAATTTGCAAGTAGCCAATAAAATGAATGGGCGGAGCGATTTACGGTGACGCACCCGTCAAATCGACGTATAAAATATATTGCTGTTTATTTAAATGTTTTTTGTCCGCATTCCTTTCATAGACACAGATTCAGCAGATGTACTGTATATTAATAAAGTTTCTGGTTACTATAAACCAGCTATAAACTACCTACCCAAAAAATGAAAAAAATTAATTGCATTAATTTGTTATGTTAAGGAGGTTCGAAATATTTTTGACACTACTACTTCTACTTTTTTCTTAATAAGATGATAAATATAACTACTTACTTTTATTTTACCGGGTGTCTTTAACATATCTATCAGAGAAAGGGGGCACCAATACATATAGAAAATACCGTATGATCGAAAAAAATGGCGTCCAGTTGGCTGGGAAATGACGATCGATGACATTTCCCATATAAATTTACATATAAAATGACAGCGATCTTCATTTCATAGCCATCGCTGACGCAGTTTTTTCTCGATCATACGGTAGATGATACTGGCTCCTGCAGCAAATAAAATAACAAATAGTATTGCCTACAATTATAAGTAACAAAATATAAATACCTATATGGAACAAAGGAATTTGTTCCCTATCCATATTCATAAGTCAATAAAATGGAGAGTTTAGAAAAAAAGATAAATCACCAAAAGAAAAATTAACAAACATGACGAATTGTCATGATGTTGTCATCTTGGTTGTCATGATGACGAAAACGAAAGGCGATTGTTCTAATTTCTATTTAGAAATTACGTTTTATATGGCTGCTTCTTTCTCTCTTGTTATATTCGAATGAGATAGTGGGCAGAATAGACGCAATGCGCAGATTAACATAAATAGAACGAAATTTTGCGTTCTGAGTTGCGCTACGGGAACGTTGTCTCTCTCTTTACCATTTAATTTGCCAGTCTCTTTTTATTTGTTTGTCTATGATTTCCCCTGAATACTAAAATTAAATTAGATACTTTTGACAATGTCAAAATAATAGTTTGTAAACCTACCTGACCATTGACTGGTATTTTTTTGTTACCTGTTACGATTTGAATTTAAAAATATTTGAAATCTTTTTTAAATTACTACTTAAAATCGGCTGGTCCAAAATTGTTCAAATTTGGCATGTGTATTTACGTGGTATTTACCATACATAAACCTTTAAAAAATCTATTTACGACTTCGCTGTAAAATCAATAGAGGACCCAATATTTGAACAGTTCAAAATTTGCATGGATTTCCTCTGTTTCCAACGACGATGCACCACCTGGTATATACTATGGTAATAGTATGAACCGACGGACGTCTATACAGACAGTTATAGCAGCCGAGGGAGACAATACAAAGTATCTTTTACAAGGTTTTTGTTTGTTTGTACATTTAGTTATTACATTTGTTTTTTTAATATCTTCAGTTCTGTCGGTATTAATATCACAGTTTAAAGAATATAAAATATATCAGTTGACCCACTCTTCGCCCGTATCAAAATTCCTCCCGCCGCTCCCCGCGCTCGGATGTAGACTTGTAGACTGACCCAAGTCTAGAAGACAGACGGGGAGCGGCGTTTTGATACGGGCGAAGAGTGGGTCAACTAATATATTTTATATTCTTTAAACTGTGCTAATATTTATCAAAACCAAGCTTGTATCGTTACTTTTTAACGTTTTTTAAATTTTAATAAAGAGTTCTAATCAGTGTCGATATGACATTACGACAATAGTCACCAAAGCGGAAAACCGCCTCGTGATATTAAAAAATATTATCATAAATTAAAGTTAGTTGAAATAATTGCAAATTATTGGTGGCAAGTTCATTTCGCCCTTACAAATTAATCAAAGCAGGAAGGCATATGTTCATATGAGTCAAAAAACAAAATGCTCAGGAAACATGGCTCTGATCGAAAAATAATGTTTTAGGAAAAGTTACTCACGAAATTATTACACAGAGTGTTTTGAAATTAAGTTAAAAAACAACCTTTTAATTAACCTTGTATAATAAGCCAAATACTAAAGTTTATAAAAAATTGAGTTTATGAATTAAAGTTAGAGATAGATTTATATACAGTTTGCTAAAAAAAATCATGAAAATAGAGCTGAAAGTAAAAAAAAAATATAACAAATTAAACTTGACGAAAAAATGTTCCATTGCTTTTTTTTGCCTCTAGTGTAGTATACCTATAGTACTTACCGATTTTGATGTGCGTTTGCTGCGGCAAGGCAAAGAATATAATCGTTTCTGGCACCTGTTGATTTCTCCTCCAGTTGATCTCGTTTCGTCGAGAATTTCTGACTGTTTTTCTGTAGCGAAGTGATCGATTGGAAAAAAGAACCCTTCTTTTTCTTCAGCCTGTCACAAGTAAAAGACACGCTTTAATTCGCTATTTGATATTTGGTTAATATTTTGGTATAATAAACGATATAATAACCGTGAATAATGCTAATATCTACTAATAATTTTAGATAAAATTCGATATAAGAATGAAAAGAATGCACAAAAAATTGCAACTTTTTTTATGTGTTTTTTTTCTCGGTAATTTAAATGCTGTAGAATATAGAATGAGTAAGAGGGGGGTTAATCACAGCGACCTTAAAGATCTATTGTGTCTCCCTTTCTTGAGTAATAGTCATCAACACTATATAACTCATCATATACGGGGATCTTCCTGTTGGAGAGGGGACAAAAGATTATCCCATCCTCCTCTGACAACAGACGTTCATCCTCCGAGGAGTGGGCATCTACGAGGGTATACACCCTTCCAGGGGTTTAGCCCTTCACAGTCGAGAAGCTTATCTCCGGCTGAGGTACCCGTGAAGTGGAGGCTGGAGGATTTGTCTCTCTTTTCTCCACCTCTTTAACTTGTAGAATGTATGTAGAATCAGAGTGTACAAAAAACCAAACCTAAACCGACGAGTAGCGACAGTCCCGTTTTCAATTTTCTTTACGGCTGCGCGAAATAAGTAGGTTATCTGTCATACGAAGAAGCAAAGTTGCCACTGTTGCCATTTATCAAATATCTCTATATACTTTATTTCAAGTATACCTCAGGCAACGAATCGTTTTTTTACTTATTTATTAGCAGTAAGATATTTTATACATTCAAATTTAGAAATAAGGATAAAACAAAACAAAAAAGATATGTATATAACTTTATAATTTATTCCACTGCAAATTGTGAGCAGTGTATACCATGTTTATAGGACCACTTCATAAGTTGAGCAGTTAAATACGTAGTCTATCTGTCAAACACGTCAAAAGAGAGAGAAAGAAAATTTGGTCCCACCACATCAAAAGAGCCGACGGTTTCTGTCGCTACTCAGCGATCTACGTACTCTGGTAGAATGTTTAGAGAGGAGTTAGTCACCGCGACCTTAAAGATCTATTGTGTGTACCTCTTTAACTTGGTCTCTCCTTAGACCTGACACCGGTGTAAGTGTCCCGAATCTACCGGGTGCGTCTCAAGTGGCTCACCCCTATAACATTTTTATTTTTTCAGAAAAAAAAAGATATTTGGTATGTTGTTATATGACATAAATTAGGATTGACTGACGTATTCAATTCTTTTCGGCCACTTCCTGTTTCACCGGAAATGACTACAACTTTTGATTTTTAAATGACACCCTCGGTATTTTTTTTACTTTACTCGATAGAAAATGACACTGAATATAATGACATGTTATATGTCAACTTTTTACATTTTCGCTTAAAACAAAATTGTACCTTAAATTTAGATCTAGAGTGCTATGGGTGTGTTAAAAACACTAATTTTTAATCAAGGAGCCTTGGAAAAATAGATTTGATCGTCTAATGTTTGTAGTGTCTTGTCCTGGCCGGTTAAAAGATGCCTAAATCGTATTTTTAATCATATCTCAATTTCTCCAAATGGAACGAAGGTGGCTAATTAGTCCATTTGAAAAAAGCATGTTTTACGAATAATTTGGTACCACACACTTGGTATTTCGAATCAAATTGTCATTATGAATGGCAGGTTGCAATTTCAAATAAACCATATTCGGAAATGTCAAAAGTTGACATATGATATGTCATTCTCTTCAGATTGTTATTTTCTATCGAATAAAGTCACAAAATACCGAAGGCGAATTTAAAAATCAAAAGTTTTAGTCACTTCAATTCAATCCTAATTTATACCAAATCTCGATTTTTTTCTAAAAAAATAAATAAGTTATAGGGGTAAGCTACTTTTGAGACGCACCCGATATAATTGAGGATATCCCTCCCCCTCTTTCTGTATTGCCTCTTTGGATTTGAGGTCAATTACACCGTAAGGGTTAGTAGGTCCACTTCTACAGAGCCCCGCATCAATATTTGGAAAGACTATTTTGTACGAATAATTTGGTACCACATACTTGGTCTATTCAGACTGTCATTTTCTATCAAAGAAAGTAAAAAAATATCGAGGACCATTTAAAAATCAAAACTTGTAGTTATTTTCGATGTAGTTATTTTCGGTGAAACGGCAAGTAAATGAAATTAACTGAGTACGTCAGTTCAATCTTGATTTATGTCATATACTTACAAAATCTCGTTTTTTTATCTGAAAAAATCCGTGAATAAAAAAATTAAAGAAGGACCATATATACAGGGTGGTCCAAACTGTATTCCGGAAACTTCAGCAGCATATTCTGCAGCTAAAAATAAGTAAAAAAGTTCTTATAATTATATGTCCTAAAATGCTTAGTTTCGGAGATACAGGGTGTAGAAGTTTCATTTTTATTTCGATTTTTTTCAAATAATTTCTGAAGTAACATCAATATTGGGATGAAATTTGGTGTCTGGGAGTTTTTTGATATGAGAAATTCGATTTTGATGGTACGGATCAATATGACTCCTACTTGTAGAGGGCACCACCTACATATTTTTAACTGGTTTAAAGAGTAATAACTTTTCATCCGTACCTGTATAAAACTACCAAGTAAAAAAATATACATTTACGACGTTTTTAACGTAAAATAGATCTCTTAATAAAAATCGCTACGAGTAATAGTTCTCGAGATATTTGAAATCGAAATTAACAATACCTGTCATCATTGACACAAATTATAAACATGTTGATTAAATAGTTAATAGAGGGAAATCATAAATTTAAAATGTTTTGTGCCAAACCATCATCAATCATTAATTTAAAAAAAATAAAAATTTTTCAAATTTATCTTTTTAGTCAAATAAATATCTACTCGACATGTTTATTTTTTGTCAATAATGACATGTATTGACTATTCCCATTCTAAATATCTCGAGAAGGGTTGCTCCTAACGATTTTTACCAAGAGACATTTTTTACGTAAAAAAATACGAAAATGTATATTTTTTTACTCGGCAGTTCTGTACAGGTACGGAAAAAAAGTTATTACTTTTCAAAACAGTTAAAACACATGTAGGTGGCGCCCTCTACAAATAGGAGTCATAATGACATCAAAATCAAATGTCTCATGCCAAAAAACTAACAGACACCAATTTTCATCCAAATATTGACGTTACTTCAGAAATTATTTGGAAAAAATCGGAATAAAAATGAAACTTCTACACCCTGTATCTCCGAAACTAAGCATTTTAGGACATACATTTATAAGAAGTTTTTTACTTCTTTTTATCTGCAGAATATGCTCCCGAAGTTTCCGGAATACAATTCGGACCACCCTGTATATTATTCAAAACGTGTAAAAATATGATGACCTGAGGTAGACCTCAGGGGTAGACTCGATAATTTGTTTGGTATATTATTTTACGTTGTGAATAAATGTTGGTAGTTAATAAAATTGTTATAAAAATATATAATTCTAAAAAAAAATAGATGAGTTATAATAATAATTATTTATTAACACACACATCCGATACGCTACCGAAGCAGGTAAGTCAAATTGACGTATCTAAATTCTTTGACATCTAATCTTTGACAAGTAGTAAATAAAAGCAAAAATGTACGAAAAATATATACCTTATTAGTTAATTTTAAGTAAATTTCATAAACTATCGGTTTACTACATGTATATACCTATTATACATATAGTCACTAGCGAAAAGTTGTTCTATTATTTCACTCGATTTTTGACCGAGATCTACCACACGCTACACGACCAAATATTTTACGGTCTTTTTCGATAAATCCCAATAGTGTCACTGTTAATTTAAGTTCTACCACAATTTCCTTCTAGATTTACTACCGTTAAAAATCTATCAGTAGTAGAATAAATAATAAATAACACAAAATAAGCTCAGTAAAGACTGACAAATCCACAAAATTTCAAATCAAATTCAAATGTGTCAAATGAATTGTCAAACATAACTGTCAAAGATCCCCACACGAGAGTTCTCTTTCCGTCGACCATGCATGAATACGAGGATAGCATTATACTGATCCCTTAATCGTTTTATTCAAAGGAAAAAATAAAAAAGTTATAGGAGTGAATGATGACTGATTAAGTACTTAATGATCAGATGCAAAAATACTAATACATGTTATCATTTATTCACGATTTGAATGTTCAACTTAAAACAATGAGTTTTTGTTTTTGTTTGAGGCTACTACGAGAACAGCACAAAATAATGCTCTTACGAAAAACAACGAGCAAACTGCGATATTTTAGCTCGTTCGGTTTTCGGAATTTTAATCGGATTTATAATTTAATCGTCGGCGTGGGCTGTTTTTATTTAACAAACATGGACCAACTGGATTTCATTAAATGCGAGTCCGCTAATTATTATTAATGGATTGTTGTTTTTATCGATCTACAGTTCACAGAAAGCTGTAGGAAATGTTGAAATATTCGTTTATGTTTAAATTTTTAACAAGGTAATTTTGAATATGTAGAGAAAATAATATAAATATATCTACGACCATATTTAGTATTTACACCATACGATTGAAAAAAACGGAGTCAGAGATAAAGATCGCTGTTATTTTTTATATAAAATTATATGGGGAATATCATCGATCGTCATTTCCAAGCCAACTGGACGCCTTTTTTTCGATAATACGGTACTTAGTTGTAACCAAATTAAAAAAATATGTACTGAATCTGTGCTTGGTTTCTTGTGAAAGGATGATCAAAGTGACCTGAGTGAAAGATGTATCAAAATTTAATGAGAGTAACGTAAAACTCTATAGCAAACGCCACGAATGTTTGGGAGTGATTCATCGCTTGATGAAGTTAGAATCGACATGCGCGCTATCATTTTTACATTTAAAACGTAAATTTTTACCGCAGACGTAGGTTTTTAAAGGCCCGGTCTAATCATCTGCCTGCGATCCTCCTACTTATTCTAAAATGTTAGCGTGATTGACAAAGACGATACTATATCGCGTTTCTTTGATTGATTCGTTTTTATGCG